CTCGATACTATCGCGTCTAATACCAAAATCTGACTGCTCGCTCGTCGCTGACGCGGCGACGCGACGGCGCGCCCGTCGCAGGGAACTTTGGGGAGAGGATACAAGTCGGGATTGGGTCTTTCCGTCGGGTCACGGGTTGATTGGGTAAGGGTTCTATATCGATTATGGATTGGCGGGCGATCAGGGTCGATAAAGGACTAGATACAGTAAAACCTGGATAACTGCAACATCGCTATCCCCTCCACTTGGGGGGATCCCCAAATAAAACAGCAGAAATTTAATATCTGCAAAATAGATAGTAAATGATCTTTTTACAAAGATATTGTGGTACCAAAATATTCCTCCCGATTTGTTTTATAAGATTCAATGGTCAGATGTTTTAATAGCAGATTATTAACAAGGAACAATTGAAATAATGTTGTTGCATACATGTTATAGGTAGGCTATGACGTCATACATGACAGTCGGATTTGGTTCTACCTATAGGTACATACATACATAGCTTTGAAAATACATTTATTTAGAAATCATAATACAATACAGTGAGTATAATAAATAGAATGTAATGCAATGTATTATAAGATTGTTTCGGCGCGATCGCTGATCGGAAACCGGAATGCCGGAACTACATACAGTAATGCTTCGAAATAAGCAAGTGGTCTCTGCTTCGAAATAAGCAAGTCGCTATCCCCTCTTCTTTGTTTGTAGTCGCCCGCAAAGTGAGAGGTACGAGAAACGAGTGAGAGGTCTGTGAAAGCGCGAAGCCGATGTTTAGGGTAATAAATTTCACGCTTGACTGAGCAGTGACATCGGTTAGTAGAAGAAGGATGGAATATATATAATGCTTTCTCAGTCTGGTATATTTGCTTCGAAATAAAGCATAGTGCGAGAATGAGAGGGCATGTTATATTCTATCCTTGTCCAAAAAATAACATCGCTGCTCGGCCGATCACTTTATGATTTGCCGCTACCTCGGATCTCTCACTCGTTTCAAGAACAAAGTCAAGCCGAATAGCTACCTGCTTCGAAATAAGCAACTGTTCGGTCCCGAGCCACTTGCTTATTTCGAAGCATTACTGTACTCAGCGCAGAGTGCGGAACGTATAGTGCACCGATGACAAGATGTCCCATGAGACAAATGCAAATGCGTGCTTCTCATGGGACATCTTGTCATCGGTGCACAGTACTATCTATTTTGCAGATAACAAATTTCTGCTTTTTTATTTGCGAATATCTCATTAAATGTAATGGTTGCGACTGGAGCAATTTTAGATTCCGAGGAAGCAAATGGGGAGCAATTTTTTAAGACATAAATTGTTAAGAAATATTAATATTCCGCGCCATCTTTACTTTGGTCTGCCACATGCTTAGGTGGCTTGAGCATCGAGTCGATAACGTAGAAATTACAGGAACAGCCGAACGGAAAGCTCACACGGACATGTGGGACAACACGCTTGTGTTAGATAAAACAAATGTAGTAGGGGAGTCACTGCACAGTGGTCCAAGAACCCGCTTTTCGTGGCCAAAATTAAAAACGTCTCTAAATCGACTTTTCACCAAATATAATAAATATAAATATACTAATTAATAGAACTAAAATACAACTAAACAAGTGCAAAAATATAATTGTTTTTAATTTTTTTATTCTAATTCGGTATTATCTAAATATTCGAGGCCGACCTTCGAATTCCGTGACGGTAAAAAATGCAGGGCGGTCAACTCATGGTTTAACGAGATTATGTCCATATTTAATAATATCAGTGTCGAAAGTAGAAGAAAAAATCGACAAAAAGCAGTTGCGAAATCGAAGCATTTTTAGGTCACTAAAAGAGTTTTGTGACTCAAACGGTGAGTTGACCGCCCTGCATTGAATCTATCTCTTTCGAATGAGCCCTTATTCAGCTCAAGATCTTCTCATATAAGGACGAATAACCGATTCCCGTAAAAGCATTCCCAAAGACGAGTTCCGCCATTATCTGGATACTACAGAGCAAGTCACGTGACAAATTTAGTGCAGCTAGTAGTCATAAGATGGCGTCTAAGTAGAAAGGCTGCCGATTTGGAATCGTAGTCAGAATCAAGCGTTAGCTTGATTACGTCACTCGAACTGTGCTGCGAAGGCAAGCGAAAAAGGCAACATCGCTCGAACACTGAGAGAGACGCACTACAGTCATGCTGTCCTTTTCTCATTCTGAATGTTGAGATTGTCCCTTTTCGCTAAGTTTTGACTGCGACCCGCCTGAATTTTTCACAGCGCCCCATAACCTCGCCCCATTCAAACTATATCGTGTTTGGTATCATCTTAATCAGAATAATTTCACCAATGCGCTAGTAAAAATTTCAGTAAAAAAAAGTCAAAAATAAAAAAATTTTATAATTGAATTAGTATTAGTCACACCGATACGTTTCGGCTCTTTCCTTTGATCATTAGACCTCTCTCTCTCCTCCACTGTCTGTCCCTTCCTACGTTCATGCTTGGCTGGTCGTCGCATTTAATTCCAGATTCGACATCTCGGCTGGATGTATGCAACGTCTGGTTCCCAATCTCTGTTGCATATATTCAGCTTTTACTGTATATGTGACGTGAGGTCCCTCCATTTATTAGTTCTAATAGTACCAATAGTACCAATTCAAGATATAACCCGTCAGAAATTGCATGACGTATCCTGTATATTTTTATTAATTAAAAAACATTTATTTAAAGAAGTTAATAACTTTTTCTAAAAAATTTCTCAGATTGCACGTTCCTTCGGTTCTTTAGAGTAGGCATATATTTTTCAGCAGCGAGGGGTGCTAAGGTGCGCTATATAAAATCCACGTGTTCAGTCAGTCAGAATTTATCGGAGCGGGACAATTCTATCATTTGGGGTGAAAGGAGGATAGCACGATCACCGTACATCTCACGCTAAACACGCGCCAATATTTCGCTTTCGTTCTTCAGGCGTATCGTCGCGATGCCTCTGGCGAGATGAGCGTTTGAATGTAATTAAACATTTCAAGTTCGTAACAGACCACGCAAGTGGCTCCACCAGGCCCAACGAAAAAACTGCTGTTGTCGAGTAACCCTTAAAGATAATCATCTTTAGGGACTTCCCTTGTTTTCCCGAACTCAGAGAAAGGACCCACATAACTTTTCCAACCCCTGTCACATCACTCTTAGTCCCGGAATTCGGGACTAGTTTATCGGGATCGGATCATTATCGATCCTACCCTAACCACAAAAACCTTGTAACCACAAAATTTACGACTTCCTTTAAGAATCCAGCCACCGGACCCGTACGTGACTCCGGCTCGCACTTTTCCCGCCTAAAAACGTCCTTTCCTGGAAAAACCTCCCTACTACTCGACCACCACACCCCAATGCCAAGTATAAAGGCAAGCTCTCTGGAAGAGCAAAGTTCGTCTTAGTCCAACGTTAAGAGTACGAGAAACATCTGTATAGTGAAGAATAAACTCTCAACCAAATAACCCAGTCTTGTCATTTGCGATCCAACGACATGGTCAAGTGTCTCGGTTCGCCTAGGAGGGTCCCCCCAAGTGGAGAGGATAGCGATGCTGCACTTATACAGCCAATCTTTTGTTGCACTTTTCCAGCTTTTACTTACTATTAAATAAAAGATTTTATTGAAGTACATTTTTCCTCTTTTCGACACCTGTTACTTATTATATTATTATGATTACTACATTATTATTATTATTGATTATATCCTACAGAACCTATGTAATATTTTTTATTTCTAAATGATTTCTAAATGAAATTAGAAGAAAATAATTTTTTTTCTAATTTTTTTTTCTATTCATTATTTTTTCTAAATGAATATTTTTTTACTTTAAAAATACATACTTTACACTTAGATGTAGAGTTCGTCATTTATTAACAAAATAATTTCCAATGAACTAAAGAGGGTTATTAAGTTACCTCCTTTAAAATATTTTACGTCTTAAAAAGTATCTCCGAAAGGTTTGTAAAACGAACTTAACTCGAATCACCGAAGAAATAATAATAGCATCGACCAGATAAAATATTATCTCATGTCTCATGATACAGTTCAGCACCGAACCTCGTCGTTGGTAAACTCACTGATTCTGGTTCTGTTTCTTACGGCGGCCGCAATATATTATAGAGGACGTAAGAAAACATCGAACTTTTTCGCCGCCGCGAACTCCCATAAGGATGGCAGTCTTTAACAGTATCTCGTCGGTGACACGGCACGTGACCTCTCCGATTCGGGACGTCGATATTACAGCAGTTTTTTCGTTGGGCCTGGTGGAACCACTTGCGTGGTCTGTTACGAAGTGAAAGGTTTAATTCCTAGCTAGCGTGCGCGCAACACGATCTAGGAAGGCAACAGCGCCTCAAGTATTTTTACAAACACATTCAAACGCTCATCTCGCCAGAGGCATCGCGACGATACGCCTGAAGAACGAAAGCGAAATATTGGCGCGTGTTTAGCGTGAGATGTACGGTGATCGTGCTATCCTTCTTTCAACTCAAATGATATAATTGTCCCGCTCCGACAAATTCTGTCTGACTGTACGCGTGGATTTTATATAGCGCACCTTAGCACCCCTCGCTGCTGAAAAATATATGCCTACTCTAAAGAACCGAAGGAACGTGCAATCTGAGAAATTTGTTAGAAAAAGTTATTAACTTCTTTAAATAAATGTATTTTAATTAATAAAAATATACAGGATACGTCATGCAATTTCTGACGGGTTATATCTTGAATTTGGTAAGAGGTTGGAAAAAGCTGTTTATGTAAAAGTTCATTAGTATGATAATGTCCATTTTTCTGTGATTTCATTTTCTCCGTGAATGCAACGATGCACTCAAAAAATGCAAATCCACTTTTTATTTAAATGGAATTGCATTTTTTTTTTACTTGTGTCAACTCCTTGAAACATACTGCATAAAAAAGTACTATGGTACTATTAGAACTAATAAATGGAGGGACCTCGCGTCTACATATACAGTAAAAGCTAAATATATGCAACAGAGATTGGGAACCAGACATTGCATACACCCAGCCGAGATGTCGAATCTCGAATTATTGTCGAGTTCACCAGAGTCCATAACTGCTACGCGCAGGTTGGAAGATAATGGGGGAACTTAGTGAGCTTCGAACTCCTACTGCGGTAGGCGCTTCAATCGCGAGTTTAATGTACCGGGTGAAAGAATAGTAGGGTGGATTAGGGAGAGTACAGAATGATACACGTGAGTAAAAGGCCGTGCGCGTCTGCACACGTTGAGTCCGTATAATATTTATAAAAAAATATCCATATGTACATTGGTGCGCTATTTACATGCTTACAAGTAAATGTAGTATTTAAGGAATATGTGTACAGAAAAAATAATATTTAAATATCGCTGTCATCGTCGGAGTCCCCAGATTGATCCACCCACTCACCAGTATCTTGGTCCAGCATATTATCTGTTATGTTGTCTATTTCTTGGAATCTGTTCTCTTCATCCCTAGTATGGCGAATAAAATTTTGCCACGACTCAGCGGTCACATTTTCTACGGCTTCGTATAGCAATCTCTGTACATCATCCAGTTTGCACGTGGTATTTCGAGTCTTTATATAATGTTTGATTTGTGCCCAGGCTAGCTCGATGGGGTTTAACTCACAATGATAAGGGGGTAGGCGTACCACAGTATGCCCGTGCTGCTTGGCGTATTCGTCGATGACGTATTCATGGCGTCTGTACTTGTATGATAATTGCAGCAGCCGTGCTTTGACATACTGTGGTTGAACGATTTCCCCCTTACCAATGAGCCACGCGATAATATCGTTTTTTTTCCATCCCATGGTTGGAAATTTTTCTACTTTGGTGCTGTGGTATGGAGCATTGTCCATAACTATCACAGCCCCATCCCGTAGCATGGGCAAAAATGTGCGGAACCAGTCGAAAAATACAACGCCATTCATTTCACCGTGGTAGTCTTCCACATTTTTTTTGGATTGGAAACAAAGGAGGGCTCCAGGTACGAACCCATCCGATGACCCGACATGTCCTATTATTAAGCGTTGGCCTCTATTTGCGGGGGGTCGTATGCCCGTGGACAGGCTCTTTTCTTCCGCGTTTGCGGGGCAGGAAACGGAAGTGTCCGCCCAAAGTTTTCTTCGGACATCTCCTGCGTTTATCCCCGATTCGTCGAGGTAGTAAATTGGCCGTCCTTCAGCACGATATTTTTGGATGTTTTCTATGTATTCCTGCCTCCAGGCGATAATATTCTCCTTCTCTATGAGCGCGTTATTACGCGCGCTAACCATATACTTGAACTCCATTCGCTTTAAAAGGCGGTATAGCGACGTTCGACTAAAATTTGGAAGCTCTGGATCCAGGTTCACGGCTTGCAATATTTTATGACCGTTCGGAATTTCCCGTCGCAACCAAAACTCATGTACCTTCTTCCTTATGGCCAGTATATCATGTTCGGACGTCTTTTCCAAAATATTCATCCGCGGTCTTTTTTTATATGGGGACGTAACGCTTCCTGTAGCCTTATATTCCGAAATAGCCTTGGAAACTGTTAATTGACCGATTCCAGTCTGTCCAGATATCATTCGTATGAGAGGTCTATACCTCATTTCCGAATGGTCCACCTTCAGACTTTCGTACAGGTTTACGATCATCATTCTTTGCGAAGATACAACGAACTACAAAAACAATTACGTACGATTTCAAATACACATATTTTATGTACAGAAAAAAGAAATGTTTCGCAGTTGAAATGCCGAAAATTTAAAAAATTAATTTAAATTATATATCTTCATAACGCCAGCTTACCTTTCCCGATGGATTTCTCTTTCTTGGAGATTCGCCAGACGGTCCAGGTTCTCCTTCCTCCATTTCACACACTTTTTAAACAAAAAATAAATACAATAACATAAGAAATAAAAAATATGAAATATAAATGAAAATATAAAATGAAATATAAAATATAAAGGAAATACTTACACAAAAGTAATACAATACAGAAATAAATACACTCCACAAAAATAATACAATACAGAAAGAAATACACTCCACAAAAATAATACAACACACTTGAACAAAACACCCCTTCACTACCCGGTATACACTCCAAATAATGCACTTTCGCGTAGATGCAGCGCGTGGAGGCGCCACAGCGACGCTGTGCGCAAGCGCATGGAAGTGAAAATTTCGCCAATCAGGGCCAAGATGCGCAAGAATGAACGAAAACTCGTCTTTTCGCAGTTATAGACTCTGGTGAACTCAACATTAGATGCGACGACCAGCCAAGCATGAACGTAGAAAGGGACAGACAGTGGAGGAGAGAAAGAGAGAGGTCGAATGATCAAAGGAAAGAGCCGAAACGTATCGGTGTGACTAATACTAATTCAATTATAAAACTTTTTTATTTTTGACTTTTTTTTACTGAAACTTTTACTAGTGTAGGAGAGAGAAAACAAACGGTGTTTCCCGTCTCGGGATCGTCTATTTAGACTCGTCAGTGGGGCTGACAACAGACGACCCCTGCCCCAGACACCTATCGTACCGCTTTTCGGAATTTATATATATCCGAACGGCATGCCGGGCGAGCGCTTGCGAAAGGCTCCGTTCAATCTTGCCGCCATCTAGCGCTCCCCGGCCCGAACTCAAGGCGTCCGGGGAAACGAAACTCTCTCCCCTCCACTAAACGCCTACACTAGCGCATTGGTGAAATTTTTCTGATTAAAATGATACCAAACACGATATAGTTTGAATGGGGCGAGGTTATGGGGCGCTGTGAAAAATTCAGGCGGGTCGCAGTCAAAACTTAGCGAAAAGGGACAATCTCAACATTCAGAATGAGAAAAGGACAGCATGACTGTAGTGCGTCTCACTCAGCGTTCGGGCGATATGGCCATTTTTGCTTGCCTTCGCTAACACAGTCGAATGACGTAACCTAGCTAACGCCTAATTTTGGTTACGATTCCAAATCGACAGGCCTCTACAGGTGAGGATAAATTAGGCCTCTACCATACCATCAACAGTTAAATAGAATGGATAAATTAATAACTCTTTGTTTATAATGCACGTGAAACAAGTATTTTTATTATCACTAATCAGTCATGCACCACACGGATGCTAACACTAAACTCTTATAACTAAATTAACTGACTACTGAGATTAAACATTTGTATTAAAATAAAATTATAACAATATAAAAGTATAAGTATAGTGCACCGATGACAAGATGTCCCATGAGACAAATGCAAATGCGTGCTTCTCATGGGACATCTTGTCATCGATGCACAGTACTTTCTATAAACGTCTCTAACTAACCGCTTCAAGGTTCAAGGAAAGAATGGCCAACTCCAACGCCTGGCGTGGGAGAGGAAACGCGCTTTCCCGCTTTTCCTAAACTATAGAGTGCGCTCTTGTAGTCGGAAATGCACTCTCCGACGAAACGGCTCACCGGACGTAGGTGCCGCCACATTACCCCCCTCCAAGTCACTCGACCTGTCAAGGAGAGCAGACGATTTTCGCGAATACACTCTTGGTTGCGGATCACAATTTTCGTCCATTTCTATATACGCCGGTTTTAAACGTTCGGTGAAAATTACAGATTCTTTTCCGCGATAATCCACCAAAAAAGTGTTGTCCGACACATGCTTAATAACGCGATACGGCCCTTCATACGGCTGTTCCAGAGGTTTTCTCGAAGCATCAACTCGAACAAAAACATGAGAAGTAGTAAACAAGTCTTTTGATAAGAAATGTGATTTTCGGCTGTGATGTAACGTCGGTTTTGGTCGTATCAGTTGCATGTAGTGTCTAAAATCGTCAGTGCAAAAATCATCGCGTGGCTGTGTGTCTATGAAAAATTCTCCCGGCAATCTGAGGGCAGTTCCATAAAGCATCTCTGCTGCTGAGGTACCAATATCCTCCTTGTAACTGTATCGCAATCCTAGCAAGACAGTTAGGAGGATAGTGACCCAGTCTTTTGATTCTTGACACATTATAGCCGCCTTAAGTGATCGATGCCACCGTTCTGCCATACCGTTTGATGCAGGGTGGTATGCAGTTGTGCGAATATGTTTGGTACTAATAAGCTTTGCCAATGAGTTAAATAACTACCCCTCAAATTGTGCGCCTCTATCCGTAGTTATTGAGGCAGGAGCGCCAAAACGCGATACCTACGTGGCATAGAACACTGTGGCAACTGTATCTGCTGTAATATCTTTAATTGGAACCGCCTCAGGCCAACGGGAGAACCTGTCAATCTGTTCAAAATTGAGTTTGAAAATGTCCTCGTTCAAGGTTCGAGTTACCGGTTCGGTTGTAGGAATGGCGGTGAGACGGGAAATAACGATTTGCACAGTTTGTTGTTAACAAGCACAATGTATTTACACAATATATACACTATGTACAATTGTTGTTCGTCGAACAACGCAAAGAATGCAAATGTTAGTGCGTTGCACAATTTCACCCGCGTCGCGGCGAAATTTGAGATTGAGTTCGAGATGTTTGAAACCACGTGTTAGATTAACGCGTGGCACCACGTAATATAATTATATTAATCACCTGGATTTCTAAGCTTACCGAACCTCACGAGTTCGTGTTGGCCGTCGGCACGAGATCCGCGTCGCGAGAATGAGTTTTTTTTGATTCGAGAGTCTGTAATTGCGTTGGAAATTTCACTTCTGTAAAGCACGTGCTTGATCGTCGCGATACAAAACCGTAATGGCCGAACCACCGGCTTCGTCGTTGCAAGAGCCGTTGGCTTCTTCCCGGTGACGTCAAACTCGGTGATTGGATGGCCTGACCGGCATCCAAGGTGGCTGCCGGTCGCGCTGCAGAGTGCTGCCGCGGTCCGCGTGGCGACGGTTTACATTAATGCATTTTCGAACACAATCATAGTAAGACAGTATCTGTAATCTTTAACTATTGGCAGAGGTCCTATTATGTCCATATGCACATGCTGGAATCTGCCCTCTGGAACAGCTATATTTTGGGGCTTATTAATGGTATGCCTGGTTACCTTGCTTCGCTGACAACGCAAGCAAGTTCTAGCCCAGCTGACAATGTCCCTATTCATATGCGGCCAAACAAAACGCTTACCAATCAATCTCTTGGTGGACCTACCGCTTGTATGAAACAGCCCATGAACGCCATCAAACACACGCCTGCGCAATTCTACAGGGATATAAGGCCTAATAATATTGGTAGAAATATCACAATATATTATTGTTTCAGCCCCATCGACTTTTAATGATTTCAGCTGCAGTGCAGTGCTCTCTTGCAATAATTGTGGAAGCTCGGGATTGTTAGCTTGCATTCTTGCTATATCTTCAGTGCTCACCACGATTGGCATACTAATAACGTCCAGCCGTGATAAAGCATCAGCAACATTATTACAAGATCCCGGAATGTGGGTAACATTAGTCGTAAACTGTCCAATGTAGTCTAGTTGTCTTAAATATCTGGGAGAAGCTTTATCCGATTTTTGCAAAAAGGCGTACGTTAACGGTTTGTGATCTGTCTGTATGATGAAACGTCGTCCTTCTATGAAATGCTTAAAATGCTTAACTGCTTTGTAAATGGCTGTCAATTCACGGTCGTAAGTGCTGTACTTCTGTTCTTGTGGAGTGAATTTTTTAGAAAAAAAACCAAGAGGTTCCCACACTCCGTTCACCTCTTGCTGGAGCACTGCACCGCATGCTTAATCTGAAGCATCTGTAACCAACAATAATGAAGAATTATCTTTAGGATGAACCAATAATGACACATTCGCCAACGAATTTTTACAAACCTCGAAAGCCTATTCGTTTCTCTAGTCCAATTGACTGGCCTTTTATCTCTTTTTTTTGCACCTTCAAGAAATTTATTCAATGAAGCTTGTATAGAAGCGGCGTTGCCTATAAAACGTCGATAAAAACTAATAATGCCTAAAAAACGGCGTAATTCTGCTATCGTATTCGGTTTTCTATATTCGACGATAGCCTGTACCTTCTCCAGTAACGGTCTGGCTCCCTTAGCATCAATAAGGTACCCCAAATACCGTACCGATTAAGAAACAAAATTGCACTTACAATTGCACTTGTTAGTTACTTTTACAATTTTTGCTATCAATCGCACCGTGTGTAGCTCGACTCACAATCAAACATGGAATAACGGCTCTTGCTCATTACCGATCATTTGTGGCATTACTGCAGCGTATTCTGAATACAGTAAAACCTGGATAAATGCAACCAAGATTGGGACCCAGTGGTTGTATTTATCTAAGCGAGGTGTCGAATCTCGGGTTACACGCGACGACCAGCCAAGCGTGAACGTAGAAAGGGACAGACAATGGCGGAAAGAGAGAAGTCCGATGATGAAAGGAAAGAGCCGAAACGTATCGGTGTGACTAATACTAATTCAACTATAGAACTTTTTTATTTTTGCCTTTTTTTTAATGAAACTTTTACCAGCGGATTGGTGACATTTTTCTTATTAAAATGATACCAAACACGATATAGTTTGAATTATAATTACTTGCTAAAATTGATGTTAAAGGTTGGCGAAAAGCACCAGAGATCGAAATCAAAACCAGTCGCGGTGTCGGCTCTGGTTTCAAAGGTTTCATTTATTCAGGCAAGGTGGCGATTCTGGGCATTTAATGTTGCATTTATCGAAGCAAGGTGGCGATTCTGGGCATTTAATGTTGCATTTATCGAAGCGAGGTGTCGATTCTGGGCATTTAATGTTGCATTTATCCAAGCGAGGTGTCGATTCTGCATCCGTACACATGTTTTGTATTCAGCTGACATGCTGATTCTGTGTCCGTACACATGTTTTGTATTCAGCCGACATCATTTATATTCAGTCGTGGTGTCAATTCTATGTTGTTTATTCTATTACTATTGTTTATAAATATAATTCAAACTATATCATGTTTGGTGTCATTTTAATTAGAAAAATCTCACAAATGCGTTAGTAAAAGTTTCATTAAGAAAAAGTTGAAAATAAAAAAGTTTTATCGTTGAATTAGAATTAGTCACACCGATATTACGGTTCAGATCATATAAAGCCGGGTATCCACCGGTATCAAACGCCCGTATCGTATCACCGTTCCGAACCCTTTTGAATAGGCAGGCGTTGCCTCGTTGCATGCCACGGCGTGCTACAGCTCGGACAATAGTTCTTCGTTTCTTGAAAGAAACTCCTATAGGCGAGAAGTTTCGATTTGCTGCATGCTGTTTCTTTATTGTAATTGTCCAAACCATATCGTGTTTGGTATCATTTTAATCAGAAAAACGTCACAAATATCTTGGTAACAATTTTATAAGAAAAAAATGAAAAATAACAAAGTTCAGTCGTTGCATTAGTATTATCTCACTGATATATCCGATTCCAAATCATATTATCTCATCCCTCAAGTGTCATGTTTCCACTTGACATAGCATTTTGGGCCTTCGCCTGGGTATGTTGTTTTTAAGCCTCGTACTGACCTATGCATTTGTGCGCCGAAAACGTTCTTTTGGGCAAAAATGCTGAAGTGAGTACGGCCCGTTAATGTGTTCGCGAAGGCCCAGAGCACGAAGGAACGCTTTTTGACCGCTGTAGCCTCGTACTCACTAGAGCATTCGTGCGCCGAAAACGACCCATTATGAGTTCGCAAAGGCCCTGGGCACGAACGAACGCTTTCCGACGGCTGTCGGTCCATCAAAGGATATTCGTGCGAACAATTTTACTATGCCGGTTACAAATTTTCAAGTACCGTTAGTCGACCGCTGTCGAATTTACCCTTCGGAAAAACTCAGTTTATGATATGGCCTGATGAACCGTCATAAACTGATTTTCGAAATCCGGAACAATTTTTGATATTAATTGTTTGGATACTTTAAACAGATACTGAAGGCTCGTATATGAATCTCCCGGTGCTAAAAAACGTAGCGTTATAGCTAAGCGTTCTTTCACCGTCATTTCAGCTTTTCTGAATCTGGTGTCGTTTTTTTGAATTTTGGGACCGATAGCGTTTATTAAAAATTCAAAATCTTCCGATGACATCCGCACAAAATTTTTAAAATGTCCACTAGCTTCTATCTGTAAATCTCTAACTACTTTTTCACCACTAGAGGTTGCTCTATTTTTATACATCTGACTAATCCACCATCGTTTATCTTGATTTTTTCTTCTTCTTTTTCTTTTAATTATTGTGTTCATAATAATATACGCTGCACTAGCGATCGTGACATCTGTTCCTGTCGACATTCTGACTTCGACTGGTTTACGGTAGAAAGAACCTTTCTACATAGAACCCAGATACAAAGGTTTACGGTACCCCAAGTAGAAAGATTTGCGCGAACAGCCGAAGAAATTTCACGTTCGTTCGCCGAGAGCATTCGTTTGGGCAAAATGCCCAAGTCAGTACGAGGCTTTACGTTTCAAGTGGTCTCCGAACCTATGCTTTGAACAGCAAGAAACCGACAATTTTCGGATCGGCCCGTTCCTTCACCTCAGTATCACAGCCCAATAGAATTTTCGATACTCGGCAACGGAAAAATCTCTGGAAAATTAACATTGTCCTTTTTCAATAATCATACAGGTGATTATTAACATTGCTCTTTTATGTACAGCGTATCACCGAAGATAATTGATCTGTTTAAATATATTTAGACGATAAAACTTATCTACATTAAATTAGATTAAGTTCATAAATAATTTCATCGATTTTGAAATGAATCCAATAATACTACAAGATTTCAAATAAATTGAAACCCAAGTGACGGCACGAAACGCTATGTCAAGTGCAAACGCATGAACCTTTCCTTCGATGGAACGGAAAAGAATCGACAAATTTTTCGGACGGGTCCGTTGCCTCCGTTCCTTTGGAACGGCACACAGCAAAACGAAACTCCTCGCCTGTAGTGGCCCAGTCCTATTGCCTAACCGTTTCTATCAAGAAACGAAGAAATGTTGTCCGAGCCACAGCACGCCGTTGCATGTGTTACGACGAGCCGCCTAAACGTACGTTAATCGAATTCTTCCCACGATCGGACAAACATCGTGTTACGGCCACCCGCCTAAACGATCGATATTCGAACAATTGAACTCCTCACGACCGGACACCTAAACATCATATTACGACCACCTACTTAAGTATTCGATAAGACGCGTTCTCACGGACATCCCACCTTGTCAATCATCGGCCCTTTCTCCACCACCAACGACATTATAAAAGACCTTACCGGACATAAGCAGAGTCAGTCGGGATCATATTATAAAAATAAAGTGCTAAACCTTTAAAAGTGCTATTCATTTAAAAACCTGTGAACTTTCTACGTGACACATGCAACGAGGCAACGCCTCCCTATTCAAAAGGGTTCGGAACGGTGATACGATACAGCACGATAGAGCACAGCCGACTCTAGTACTAGCCGTGCTGAAGTAAAAATGGCAACACCGCGGGAGTCCGGTCTGAATATCTCAACACCTACCCTACTCTATCTGCCTCCCGGACTCCCAGACTCTCAGCCAATCAACGCCGTCAGACTCCCGACTACTCTCTGGACTTCACATAACCTCTTTGGTTTCGTTCCAATAATTTCGCTTGTTTCAAGGTTTTTGTTAAGTTATATACACGTTCATCAATTCTTAAATGTTTCAATTTGATCCAAAGATGGTTTCATTTTGCTTCATACCTAAATTTTCTTGAAATCACTGTAAATATTTCAAATATCATGCTTCACAACACCAAACTACTTTGAGAGTACACAAAATATATATCACATTTATAACAATTTTATACTACCACATCACTTCTATTTGCCATAGTTGCAACGTTTATATATTGTTTATACATAATTAACACAAAATAGTGTATATTACTACAGCTTTTAATTAAAAAAGACGTTAATTACAATTCCGAGCACAGGACTCTGTTTTTGAAAATAGGACTCCCGATTGTCACGTGAGCGGTGTTGCCACGTTGTTCAGCATGGCTAGTACTAGAGTCGGCTGTGGTCTAGGGGGATCCCCCCAAGTGGAGAGGATAGCGATGTTGAACTTATCCAGCCAATCTTTTGTTGCATTTATCCAACTTTTACTTACTATTAAATAAAAGATTTTATTGAAATACATTTCTCTTCTTTTCAACACCTGTTACTTATTATATTATTATAATTATTATGATTATTACATTATTATTATTATTGATTATATCCTACAGAATGTAATGTCGCGGAGTTCTCTCTCTCACTGAGTCCTCGGCGTACTTTATGTAATTTGATCTACGTTGTCAGGTAGATAGAGGTTCTCACTTACCTTTCACTGGATGAGTAGAACCTATCTATGGACGGAACCTGTGGTGGTGTGTCGTCCAGGTGTTGGAGCGGTAGGGTAGATGTTTCGAGTGAAGAGCACGCACTTTCGATCACAATGAATGTTTATTCGTTACTGGTACAGTTCTTGATTCGCGCACGTTTACGATCGAGTCTTACAGAATCTTGCTCTGTCGGAGCCCTGAGCTTCGTAGCAGAGTCATAAACGCTAGACTTAATAAATTTATTGATATTACCGGAATCTTGCTCTGTCGAAGTATGTACTGAGCTTCGTAGCAGAGTCGTGTAGATTCTAGAGTATCGAACTCTGAGCGGTGCTTCGCGGATTATCTTCGCGGATTTAATGATTTACAGATGGTCTGAGTGATTTAGTCTGATCGCGATACTTTCGGTTTCGTACTATGTTGATAAGTCGATGAACCGTTTAGATGTACTGATAAGAACTGCGCCTATGAGAACTTCTTACGAGAACTATTGGTAAAATTTGACTGCGTGCGGGCGGGCCCGGTCGCGTTATTTTATATTGATAAATGAGGTCGACATTTGATTTGGCAATTCGGGTGAACCACCTCGTTCGGATCGTCAGCGTTCTCGCCGTACGACGACCCGGCTGAGTTGCTCACTCAGAATTTGCGGAACGATGAATTTGGATGGTGCAATAGAAGTTTAAAGAATTTGGGTGATGAAATAGAAGTTTCAAGAGTGCGTCGCAGGACGTGACAATACATATATTGTACTGATTTTAATTGTGAAATCAATCACAAAATTAAGGAAACTTATGTTTATTTACGTGCATATAGAATGCGTCACAGGACGTGACAAGAACCTATTTTATTCATTTTTATTTCTAAATGATTTCTAAATGAAATTAGAAGAAAATAATTTTTTTTCTAATTTTTTTTCTATTCATCATTCTTTCTAAATGAATATTTATTTACCTTAAAAACACATACTTTACACTTAGAACTAGAGTTCGTCATTTATTAACAAAATAACTTCCAATGAACTAAAGAGGGTTATTAAGTTACCTCCTTTAAAATATTTTACGTCTTAAAAAGTATCTCCGAAAGGTTTGTAAAACCAACTTAACTCGAATCACCGAAGAAATAATAATAGCACCGACCAGATAAAATATCATCTCATGTCTCATGATAGAGTTCAGCACCGACACTCGTCGTTGGTAAACTCACTGATTTAGGTTCTGTTTCTTACTGCGGCCGCAATATATTCTAGAGGGCGTAAGAAAACGTCGAATTTTTTCACCGCCGCTACCCGCCACCTCCCATAAGGATTCATACGATTTTTAACCACGTAAAATGAACGAGGTACATATAAAAAGTACTGTGTGATCATAAAGGAATTGAAACGGATGCTCCCTACTCTTCATTTTCTGTTGTTGAATAGTTATTATAACGCGTGGTCGACTCCTCACCGTCCCATCGCTACTATCTGCCGCAGACCAAACAGCTACTCTTAGATTCGGATTGCAAAATAACCGTCTACTAGGGTAATTTGATATGGAAATTTGTTAAAGAATAATAAGTGAAACACGTAATAACAAATATAACGCTGTTCTTCTAAAAACTTTAATTTGAATTCAAAAAATACAAAAGGTTTCATTGTCAATGTTATAAGGATTATTCATATCAAAATAGAGATTTAAAACTGTAAAACTAGGTAATACACAAATACTACACGTGAATCTGCGCATATACATATGTGTATATATAGATGTCGTTATGAACTAATAACTAATAATTTGAAATTGCAGAGGCCGGCAAATAACCTCGAAATATATTAAATGACGTTGTTCTATATAGTGTTGACAGACATTTAGCTGTATTTATAATTAATAACCATAACGATGACGATGGATAATTCGTGGCATGTGATCAGAACCGCTGCCGCAGAAAATAAACACGAGTTAGTGTTGTCAGGTCCGGCAATTTCCGAATTAATTGAAAAACGAGGTTTCGACAAATCTTTATTCAACCTGCAACATTTAAATTACCTAAACATCACACAGACATGTTTGCAAGAAGTACCAGAAGAAATAGGACAGTTGGTGAACTTAACTAACTTGGTGTTACATTCGAACGAAATTTCAAAAATACCGGACACAATTGGGAAATTAGAGAAATTGAAAGTTCTTGATTGCTCCAGAAATAAATTGACTTCTTTGCCAGATGAAATAGGAAAGCTCCCACAACTGACCACAATGAATTTGAGCGCAAACCTTTTAAAAATTTTACCTACACAGATTGGTAATACTAAGTTGAGTGTTTTGAACCTATCGAATAATCAGTTCGAAACCTTTCCTGATATTTGCTATCCAGAATTGATTCACCTTTCTGAAATTTATGTTAATGGTAATCAAATTAAAGAAATTCCTGCAGCTATAAATCAATTGTCATCTCTGAAAATATTAAATGTAGTAGATAATTTAATTTCAGGTAATTTTTTTTCAACAAGTGCAAAATTATTTCTTGCAAAATTCATTTAATCATTGGTTCTTTGATGTAGCTGTTCCAGGTGAAATAGCTGACTGTAACAAGTTGAAAGAACTGCAATTAAAAGGAAATAAGTTAATGGATAAAAGATTATCAAAATTGGTGGATCAATGCCATACTAAACAAATATTGGAATATATTAAATCACATTGTTCTAGGAGTACTAGTTCTGTTAATTCAAATTCCAAAATAAAAAAAGGAAAAAGGTCCCAAAAATTATCAGAATCTGAAAATAGTGCTAATACAATAGATATTTTAACGCATAAGTTAAAAGTATTAAAAGTAACAAATGACACACCATTGATTAAAATTACAAAACATGTGAAAAATGTTAGGCCCTATATCGCAGCTTGCATTGTCAGAAATATAAAATTTACAGAAGACAGTTTTAAGAAATTCATTCAACTTCAAACTAAATTACACGATGGAATATGTGAAAAAAGAAATGCAGCTACTATCGCGACACATGATGTAAAATTGATTACTCCTGGTAAATATGATAGAAATTAAAAACATATTTTTAAAATATATAAAAATATATTATAACACTATATTTGATATTTAGGTGACCTAACATATACAGCAAAACTACCAACTGAATTAGAAATTAAACCATTAATGCGTAATAAAATTTATACTGGTGCTTCATTGTTTCAACAATTACAAACAGAAGCTGATAATTTAAGAAAAGAAAAAAAACGTAATGTATATTCTGGCATTCACAAGTACCTTTACCTCCTAGAAGGTAAACCTATGTTTCCATGTTTATTGGATGCTTCTGAACAAGTTATTTCATTTCCACCAATAACAAATAGTGATGTTACAAAAATGTCAGTAAATACTGATACAATGCTAATAGAAATAACCAGTGCCACATCATATCACGTTTGCAGGTATAATTTTAATTTACTAATAACAAACACTGATAATTAGTTATTGATTCATTTTAAAACCATATTGTTTTAAAAATAATTATTAAATACCTCAGTGATCATGTAAATATATTCGATTATAATGTGTTTTATATTTTAATAGAAACATATTGGACCAGTTTTTAAAGGAATTAGTCATACAAGGTTTCGGATGTCCTTCAGACCAAGAAAATACTTCCGCTTATCACAGTTTAGTTGTAGAACAAGTAAAAGTAGTAGATATGGAAGGTAACATGAAACTGTTATATCCATCAAGAGCAGATTTGAATCTTGAAGAAAATTTAATAACTGTGTTGCGTGAGTAATATATCACTGCAAATTTTATAATTTCAGTGTTCTGTGTTTTACGATTTTTTTTAAATTTTTATTTTCTTATTCTTTTAAAATGAAAAATATTAAAATAATCTTTCGTGGTCAATTTATAAATTGTGTTTTGTAACTCTATAAAAAACAAACAATTTAATCATACAGTGTTATTGCCGAGACATTTTATATGATACCTTTTACTATGTATGATTGCATATTATATGTTAATCATAACATAATATTTTTATAATGAAGGATTAAAACTACATGTAAAAATAATAACAAATGAGTGTTTAACATTATGAGAATCAAAAAATAAAAATAAACGTTGCAAAAATTTAGCAGCTGTAAAAATTTGTCTTCCCTGAAAATGAGGAAAATATGAAATTCACTGCCAAAAGTTGTACGAAGGGTCTAACAGGTAGACTCTAGCCATATAAGCATAGTGAATCGACACCAGCAACAATTTCGATTTATATTTATATTATACCACATAGTGCTTTTTGCCTAAAGAATAATTGTGAGCAATTTTAACCATCTACACCCCTTGGCAGGGGAGATATAAGGGTAACAACCCTAAAATTTACTATTTTTTTTCTCAGAAGCTGTTTAAGATATTTGAACACACTGAAGTGCAAATAGTAGATACTCATTAGCTGTACTTCATATATTTTTTCCAAAATTTTTATCCGATGATGAAGGGTTGAAAATTAATAAACAAATTTTTGCGAGTGATTTTTATAAACAACTCTTTGAGTGACATCCACTGAAAAAATTAAGAATAATCTTTCACTACTTAACTATTATCTGTAAAAATTTCAAGAGTGCCGGATTGGTACAACATGGTTAAAAAAAAATAAAACCAATATAACGCTCCTTAAAAAGGCAGATAGGTGAACGTCACTAAATCATGGCGGGCCGGTGCAATGTGTTCCCTTGTAGGTCAGTAACGTTCAGCCTGTCTTTGCCTTTTTAAGGGACGTTATATTGGTTTTATTTTTTTTAACCATGTTGTACCAATCCGATACTCTTGAAACTTTTACAGATAATAGTTAAGTAGTAAAAGGTTATTCTTAATTTTTTCGGTGGATGTCACTCAAAACTTAATTTTGTATAATGTGGTATAAATATCAACCGAAATTGTTGCTGGGGCCGATTCACTATGCTTATACGGTTATACCTTTTTACATTGCAATAAATAAATACAATTTGTACTATATTAAATTTTTATCATATAATAAATTTACTGATTTATATAACATGAAAAGATGCCAATATGCAAAATTATTAAAAGTTTATAAATTTTAGTAGAACGTAATATTGATACAAGCGTGATTTATAAATTCATTTTTAAAATCCATGTTATTATTAACCATTTCCAAACTTAATAAATCATACACAAATTGAAGCACGAAAAACATAAAGTCATCATGTATTGTTTGAGGTTGTGAAATTTCAAATCTTTCGGTAACATGATCTTAAGACTCCATGTTTACTATTTGGATACAACGTACACCGCAATAACAAGACAGAAAATTCCAAAAATTCTATTATTTGCACCGAATCCAGCTGGGCACACTCAAAATATCTTTGAATAACCAAATATATTTATATTTATAAACTATCAGGGTTCCAATCTGAATCTGGATTCGAATAAAATTCCTTATCGGACCTAACCTAATCTAATCTAAATTTGAGCATATTTCCAAATTTAGCTAATTCGAAATTTTCGACCACCCACATATATGTAATATTTATCCAATAAGGTATTTTCAATTATCTTGCAGAGGATATAGCGGTTAGCCACAAGTTCAAATACCAGTAAAAAACCGCCATTTTACAGGCAGCTGACGACATTGGCGCTGTCGTATCGCGAATCATCCCGTAGTATGCCGGTGAAGAATTCTCATCTGTTTTTATAAATATTGTACTTTGTTTCGATACTTCAACGTAGTGCAAACAGTATACGTTGTTCGAGTGAGACGTTTTTGTTCACCTTAATAAGCTTAGTTAGTGAAAGTTCTGTTTCAGAGCAGTTTAACGAGAAGAAAAAAATTCATACAAATTTTGTGAACTTTCCAACATGCGCGAATAGTTTGAAGTATTAACATGGCGCCGAAACATGACTGGTCATGACGGGGGAATGAGAACGAAATTTTTGAGGTTAGTTGATCATTTTGTCATTTAAGTATTGTCGCATATCGGAAAATTTGCCGTATAATTAGGTTTGTCAGCTTAATGAATATTACAATAGAAAAATATACGGTGTATATGTGGAGAAAATTTGTTACTGTTGCAGAAAACACGTGTCACATTGGATAATTTATCCATTGTTTTTATAATGATTTAGCAAAATGTTTCGATAGCAATAATAGTTGTGTTATAAATATCACATTAAACAAACGATATGTGTATTATTCTTTATGCTGTTTCATTTTCAAAAATTTTATTGTAGAAATCATAGATTACAAAGATTGATGCAATTGTACAGAAATTTCTACACTATTTTTTATTCGGTTTCTTTTTATTTCTTTTATATCAGTTGTTTAAATAGTGGATGATTTTTTTTTCTTATTTTCACAACGTTACCTGCTTTTAATCTAATGGAAATAAAAAAAGTTTATAGCAGTAAAGAAATTGATTCATATGCATAGTAAAAATGTTTATATGTGTCAATAAATATTTAATGATAGTTAATTTTAATGTATGTAAGATTGATATGATTTATTTTATATATCTTATTGATTGTATTAATACAATTAACTGTATTAATATACTTATAATGTTTTGTATTAATAATTATAGTATAATAAAGATGTCAATATTGTACAAGGGACAAAAATATTTATTAAATATTTTCTTACAACTTTATACATTCTCCACATCAAATTTATACATTATAGATACATTAATATATGACAAAAAGATGCAACAGAAGTATCAAACCAATGATAATTGAATATGAAATATATTTTTGCCAAGTTATATTAAAATATATCAAGGTTAAAAGTACCTGACATTTATCGATGTTTTCCTAACACTGTTTCTGTTAAAACATATTTACTAAAAAAAATTATTATTTCATATATATATATTATTCAAAAACATTATGTTTTACTAAGTACAAAAATATAAGACATAAAAATGAAATTAATATTAATAGGAGTCCTTCGTTTAAACATTAGTTGTATTGGAAGATAACATGTAATGATTGAAGCATGCTTATTGTTATTAAAATAGAGATTAAACATCGAGTAGTATTATATACCTATTTGATAACAAAATAGTTGGTCAACTTTAGCTTTAAATGTGGCACATTTAATTGGATTGACCAATGTAAACATATATTTGCATATAATAAATGTTAAATTAGGAAGATCGGTTAATCACATTTAGAGTGACTAGAAGATACTAGATAGTGTAATAACTTATTTTGCTTTTAGTTGTTGTCTTTCCTTCAAATCAATTATACTCAAATTAATACAAGATACATATCCATGTAATAAAGAAATAGCAGCTTTAACGATTGCTACTGGGGCAGAAAGATACATAACCAGTTTGAATAAGCTTATACCAACCACTGAAATAAAAATGTATATTATTTTTGACCATTAATGTTCAATATAAATAGTATACACATAATTAATAACTTACAAATGGGTCCTTCTGTAAAATACAGAAGATATAAAGCTGCATAAAAAGCTTCATTACCAGCACACATAAAAAACAGAACTGTACGATTAGTGTAATATACTTTCATAATTGGATTTTCAGACATGTCAATAAATTTATGACTTGTCTTTCCTTGCAAAAGAGACCTACAACAGGACCAATCTTATAATGAAGAAATATATCTAATAATTATAATATATGTATATGCATACAGTATATAATAAATATACATAAATAGATAAAATTAATCCTTACGTATGCAAATATAACCAGTGGCAACTAATGTCAATAGTCATGCTTAATTGAAACCAGAATGAGTATGAAGGATAAAATATGCATAATACAGCTAAAAGACACATAGTACCAACACGATCAGTCAACTGATCTAACATTGCACCAAATTTGGTGCCTTGATTGAAATATCTTGCTGCATGGCCATCCACTGCATCTAATAGTGCACTAATAATGTAACACCATGATGCTATAATGTGGTTAGTTCTCATAAAGTAAAAGGATATAATAGCCAAAATCACTCTGCCATAGCCTGTCAATACACATGTGCACGCATTATTATGATATTCTTATTACATACAGTACACTATAATATTTAAAATATTTACATATATATCTACAAATTTGAATACTCATATGTTCTATTTTAAAAATTTGTTTACTGCTGTAATAGGTTTCATTTATATCTTTTCTTAATATTGGAATATTTTATTAAATAGAAGAAAATGACGTTGCTTATATAAAATGTACAAAAAGTTTTCCATTAAAAAGTTAATCTGTCAATTAGAGCAAATCAATACAAGAAGTCTTTAAAGTGCTGTGTATTTAATCCCTTTTTAATCATATTTTATATCACAAAATAACCAGGGATCAAAATTTTTAATATTTCAAAATATATGTTGCAAAAAGAGTAGAAACTATTTATATTGATTATAGGAATTATTTATGATATAAAGTATGTTATTTCACCATAAAAGATATTGTCATATCATACATCTTTATATAAATTAATTCTATTCATTAATAAAAAAAAATACATAAATTTATATTCGATCAAATAACATATGTAAATGAAGTCTTTGTATAGATTATCAGTATTATTTTTTAGTCTTACTATAATTTAAAAAATATATAATTTTATTATACATAACAGATTTAAAATTAAATACATATTTTTATACGAATATTAGACTGCAAATATTTATTTACCAATAATGTTGGGCACAAACAAAAATATATTCTCAGATTCCGTCATTTTACCGCCTCAAAACTTCCCCCACTGTTTTGGAAATGTAATTGTACCGGAACCTGTTATCTATAACCGAGCGTAAGGATTTATCCGTTATTTATAGTTAACCATCTCAAATAATATTTTTCATTTCTTAACTTACAAACTTTCCGACTATTCAACTGCTTTTATACACACTGTACTGTCTTCAATTTAATCTAAATTACCTTATAGAGTATATATCAACATGTAACGTCAATGAATCGGTATAATCGACAGTTATATCGCGTTCGAGTTCGAGTTCGAGATATATCGATTTTAGTGACGTATTAGCATTTGCACAACTAACAGTATCGTAACTACTCACATTTTCATCATCCTTTTAAATTTACATTTATTCATACTATGTATAATTATAAAACATATTTCTTGCAAAATAGAATTATTGTGCTATCTTTTAATGTATAAAACGAGTGGTAGTTATAATTATTGATACATTTCGTTTATTAAGTTTAATTCTTTGAATTTACATCAGTATTGATTTCAACACTATAAATTATCAGTTGAAATACAAACACTAGCCATAGAAAATATATTTTTATGTTATTATAATCAGTTTTAAATAAGTTAGAAAATCATAATTGTAGTATGTAGCTTGTCGTATAGTTACGCTCCTGAAGCCAGACGACATTTTCGGAGGCTAAACGGCTGGTTCGCCGTTTCTCTGCGCAAAAGCGTTCGTTTATTGAAAACTGTCTATGCAGGTTTACGTCAGTTTTCCTGTAACTTCTTTTCAATGTGATTAACTAAGCATAATATTAAACAATAGTGAAAGCAAGTGAAAATGTTCTAGTGCAAAAATTGATTAACCGTACAGATGGATTCAGACGTTATGCGATGAAGTTTTGGGTGGACTACTTTCTTTTTATTCGAATACAATTAATATTATATTTAAAATAAATCCCGTTAACGGGATTGTCTGTCCATGTTTGAATTGAACATATCGATAGAAAGCTGTCGATGTATTTAGTTTTTTATGCTGCTGTCAAAAACTGTATGTACAAAAGTAACATCAAGCGATCGATAATTCACCGACGATTTTGGAATACGCTTTGATGATCCGTTCAGGTATTCATAACTCCGTGGGATATTCCTACTTGTCAGTGAAATGTTTCAAAAGTGATCTCAGTGTCTTCCGAAGCCTTTGTGCAACAGAACCGTCGTAAGAACAAACTATACATACTTTTCAGTGTTGCGTGCGTGCGTGCGTGTGTGTGTGTGTGCGTGTGCGTGCGCGCGCGCGCGCGTGTGTGTACAAGCAATGCCAGAAATATTATCGTCATTTTGGACAAATACTGTTTCGCGTCTTCCATCCGTACATGGTTGGAACAACGCTACCAGTAAAGTGCATTTTGTGTAAAAAGAAATTTACAAGAAGCGTACGTAAGAAAAGTGTGCATTTTAATATCGACAGCGGCCATTTTGAATTTATGAGTACCTCGAACTACGACGATTATAAAGCTCGTTTTATAATTCCAAAATTGGACTTTCTTAAATGTCTTATTTTTTTGAAAGATTACTGACATGTGTAAAAGTAATCTGATATGTCAAGTGAGGTTGCATCTTTCCATTTCTGGAATGAAATTCTAATGATTACTGCATAAAAAACATTCTATTTCTTGCTGTTATAATTTCAATGTAAACGGAATAATTTAAATTTAGTTTCAATCGTAACGAAACATTTATTTGTTTGATACTGGAAAAAAAAAAAAGTAGTTACAAACTATGTATTTTTTATGCTACATTTCATAGAAAAAGTAACAAATAATTTGAAATAAGTACATCAATAATGAGACAGTATACAAGTGGGATTAGTGTTTCCATTGTTTCGTATTTTTCTTTTCATTAACATATTACAGAAATATATATGTAGTAAATATTTGTCATTGAAACAACAAGAATAATACATGTTTCGATAGGTGTAATCGAAAATAAGATTTAAAATAACCTCAATAACACGAGAAAATGATCTAAAACCGAGATCTGCAAAATATTTTGAAGTACACAACAACACTTTATGTATCACTGAGATTCTAACTGATTCGAATACGAACGTCAGTGTTTTTTTAGCCTTTATATTAAAAATACAAAACAGGAGTAAGGAAAATAAACATAATATTTTCCTGAATTTATTTTATTTTATTCAATATTTACATGTAAAAGATAACGATTCTGTATAAGATTGACGGTTAAATATTAGTTCGGGAATCCCGCTAAATATGTTAAGACAACAGTTTTCTGATTGATCGACAGTCACGACACTAGATGGTGGACGGTGCCATTTTTGTCACCTTAGTAGCGCGCAGGGAGCGCGTGTAAAATTAAGTACATTGAAAGAATCTTTTTGAATTGAATCTCACAATAATTGTTGTTATTTAAACATATGTTCTCTTAAATCGAATTTAACAAGCTGAACTTGTGATTGGTTGAATCGTTCAATCTTAACCTGCTGTGACATCAGTAAAAGATGTTTTTATTTATGTGGACGTGATAGTTGTAATGGTTTAATATATTATGAACAAAATCAATAAACTAATCATGATACGAAATGAGAGAAACTGGAATAGTTTTCTGTGATCAAATAAATCAGGTCATTAGACCTTGAAATCACCAAAGAAAAATGATAAAACTATGAGTACAGCGGACACAACGCTGTCAGTTTCAATCAAAATGGCCCCAGGGCCAGAACATCGTCAAGAACCAGTAGCACCTGATAAAACTACTGAAAATAACAGTGAAACCTCTAATGAAAGAGTTAGTGAAAATCCAGTGGTAGGTGTTGAAACTGTTAGTAACCAGAGTTCAAACACAGAATGTGCTTCAATGAACACTGATACTGCTTTAGACTCAACAAATCAAAGTGCACCAACCAGTGTTACATCAGACAATAAACAGGTGAGTTATAAATATAAAGAGTTCATTCATGAATATAATATGTTCTTGAAACTTACATTAATAAAATGACAAATATTATAGGACTACTTAGTTGTTTATAGGTAAACAGTATATTTAACTATGAAAGTTATTGTACATACAATGCCAGATAAGACATATTTTTTAAACACATGAATTTTGTTATAAACATAAGAGGATGATTAATGGATGTATTTATGCATGTATTTATTTTAGTTTTCAACATTATTTTATATATAGTACATTGATAATGAAAACGAAACTAATGAAGATACAATTACTCTTATATTTTCAATAAACATTAATAATTCATGAATTAAAAGCCTATTATATATTCTATTAAATATTACAATTTTGTAATAACGTTCAATTTTATATTTTCATTTAAAGTTAATTTAGTTACAATATAGTTAATCAATTATTATTTTAATTATAAAGTATTTATGTACGATATAAAAATTCAGACCAAATAATTGTTTATAAAACATTTGTTTTGTTAATACTCTTTTTGTTTTTAAATTCACAGTATATATTTCAATACATACATAAATTTATTATAACCCTCACACTACTATAATTTAATGTTACGATAGCTTTTATTCTTCATATATTTATATTATATTTATCAGAAAAGTTGCAGAAAAAAATTTATAACTCAAGTTTTATAAAGGAATAATAATTTACTAATTGAAAAATATTTACTTGCATAAACTAATTTCTATGCAGTTGAATTCCTTGAATTTTTGATACAATTTTTTTCTATTTTCTTTTTTCTTTTTTTTTAAGTACAGTATCACATATGTACATAAATACATGGTAATTAATAAAAAAAAAAATATTATAAATTTACATAATTCTTTCGGGCATATGACAGTGCAATATAGATTGACAAAAGATAACGAATGCGGACATTAGGGACCCTCGGTTGGTTACGATCCTGGAATGGTCGTGTACTCAGTGTAATGGCGGCGGCCATGCTGAGAAGAGCGCGCCGCGCCCGCTCGTCACAATAGCATTTAAATCGGCAGCATAGTTTTGATACTGCCGATAGTATTTCTTGTGAATAGTGATAACATATCGTTGGTTACGTTTCTCGTATACTCGAACGCGCAAAATCTGTACGCAACGGTGATATACTGCAGGACTGCAGTTCAACGAAGCAAAGACGACTGCAGCCGACCCAGGTGCCCTCTAAAAATATAAATTCCGTGCCGGCACTGCCCAGCAGATTTTTCCTTCGTCTGTAAGTCACCCCGGTATCTCGTGTCTCAATTAGTTAATCGCGACCCCCTATCGATCTCTGGACAAGCCCAAACTCATTCTTGATGTGTGTCCTATTTTAATTTACAAGCGAAGGTAAAATTCGCTATTAGCTATCGTTTTCCCATTTCCAAGGGCTTACGAGTATTCATTAACAGTGCTTTACCGAATCTTCAAAGACGATTGGTTTGTATTATTTGTACAAAATCATGTATTTTTCTTTTTATTTTCGCGGTATATTACTCAACACTGCGAAACGAATGATAATTTTTTCCTTTTTTTTTGCTAAAACAGTGATAAGAGTTTATTATTAACTCAGCTACGAAAAACGTATGAAGTACTTCAATGTATGTACGACGATTCACGGTCAATAAGTTTTGTTATCTTTGTAAAAACTGCATGTTCTGGGAGCAATCACTTTCAGCTTTCATATGTAGCTTTCAATAATTATATTACTAAACGCTTTGTCTCGATCAGTGTTTGTGTATTGTTTCAGATGAACGAAAAAAAAAGAAAGACTGCAGTAGTCAATTATTTTTTACATGGGCAGCCATTCTGATAAGATATTTTGCTTTAAATGAAGCCAGTCAGGTTACTGCAGAGCAATGTTAGTTAAATTACCATGAAAATGAATGACATGTATGGTTTCTTGTAATATTTTATAAGTTGATATATTAAATTTGTGTATAGGCTTATAATATTTATGGTTATGTAAACAATTGTACACATTTTAATACAATAATGTTATATTTAATTTATATGTGTATATATATGTATATGTGTATATGTGTATATGTATATATATATATATGATTATTATTTCCGAAAATAATGATAAAAATAAAAATATGGATTCTACAGAAAAAATTTAGAATTAAACAATTAAAGCAGGTTGAGAATTTAATACTTTAAGATTCATAAGAATTAAAGTATGCGTAATTAACATGATAAAAATAATATATGGATGTAGGTATATTTACCTCTCTGAATATAGTATTAATTATAACATTAGAGTATATCATTTATACTAATACACCTTTTTCTATGTGGTTTCTATATTTCTTCATAAAATCCAATAAGTGAAACCTTAAATTCACTCTGAATCTATCTATATCCATGCTTATCTACCTTGTGGTCTACTTTGTACTATAGTGTTGAGAATAATAGAAAATAACATAAAAATATAACAACATACATTGTTTTCAAACATTGAATATTTATTACGTTACAATTAATTACAATAATATAATTGTAGATAATTTTATATTAATGGTTATCTTAAACATTCAATTAACAAATTTTATGTATTTTAAATTATAATGTAAACATTTGATTAATGGTAATAGCAAAGTAATAAAAAAGTATTGAATCATACATTCAAATAATTTAAATTGGTCACAGATAATATTATGGTTATCTTTCATTTTTTTAAGTATGTCTTCAAATGCATTTTCACTTATGGCATACTCCTGAAGTTTGGATTGATCTCTTGGCATACTTTCCATATTTGAATCTAGATTTCAAAACATGTTTCTCCACCATGTATAGGTTAAAAACAAAGTGTTTGCAAACATATTACAATTTAAGTATCATAATATATACAGAGTGAAATTGAATTTAGTACAATATTTTATGTTTTATATATTTCATTGTTAAATTAATGTCATTTATGTACTTTAGATAAATATATATTCAATATTGTTAATTCATCATAGCTTATATAATACTTGTTCTTCAATGGAAATAGTTTTTCAGTCTATAATAATATATATTTTTGGAAGATGAAAGTGTATAAATAGATTTAACATGTTTATTAGTTATCTGTTTATAAAAATTTTCGATTGTCCTGATGATACAAAATAGTGTCAGTGTATGTGTTATACGTGATTCAATTTTTTAAATAAATTCAATTTCAATTTTCCCTTTCTTTTTGTTGTAACTTTTAGGAAGAACCAGCCACTTTATCAACATTAAATGAAGGTGAATTACGTGCACTACTGGATGAAGCTATAACATATAAGTGTCCCAAAGATCGTGAAGGAAAATCAAGCCTTTTCAAAGTAAGCATAATGTTGTTTTTATTTTTGTACATTAAAGTTAATACAATTATTCGATTATACTTATTGCAGGAACTACTGCAAGAAGCAGAGGCTGATGAAACTGAGGAAGGTCGTAGAATAATAACTAATTCACGTTGTTTACCTGGATCAAATCGTAGAAGACATAAGCGAGATTCTGTGTCTGAAAGGTTAACACACGGAGGATCTTTACAAAATTTGACCCAACCTATTACTTCAGAATTTGATAGTAGCTTTGCTTACTTAACATCTGGATCTAGCCATACTTACGGAGGAAGTAGAAGAAAAAATAAAAAATATACAGGACCCAGTGTGTCTGCGAGGCAAAGGGAAGGTGGTTCATTACCCTCAAATGTTAATGCATCGCACAGTCTTGCTTCGTTGGTTAACTTAGATTTGTTGTTTGATAAAAAGGTACATATTTTGAAATTTAAATAAAAATTTTTAAATACAATTATACATTTTAAAAACCTAAATTATACATTTATGAATTTTATATTGTTTAATATATAGACAGGATATAATAATATGGTATGTAATTAAGTATACATTTTTGTAATTTATAAAGAAGGGTTTCTGTGAAGAAAGAACAACATATGATTGGACCAATAAAGAAAAATCCAAATCTCTAGACAAACCATCATATACCAATACAAAAAAGGAAGAAAAAGACAAAAAGGACACGAAAAAGGATTTGTGCGAAACCGAACTTGAAGTACGCGAGAAAAGAGGCAACAAAGGAAAACACGGGACAAATGAAATGCTTGAATCAGATAATCCACCACCAGAGTATAAGTCAGATTACATGGTGATCGATTTAGGTGATACTGAGGTGAATAAAGAAGTTTATATATTATTAGTATAATTGTTCGCGAGTTTTTATCGTGTTTTTATCTGTTTTATATTGTTATATATCTATTTTAGGTGGGTAGTATTAGCGAAAGGAATGTGGGATCCACTATAAGTGGGGTTCAGAGACCTCACTCTTTAGACACAGAAGATGATGAAGGAACTGAAATGAAAATCATTGAACCACGTAGATCTCAATATATATCACGCCCTACGTTCGATATAGCTCAAACTCCTGTGGATACTACTATAGATTTTTCTTTCCGAGAACATAGTGGAAAACAAGATAAATCAAAAATATCTGTGAACGGTATAGAGGTAACCGGAGCCCTCTCTATTCAAACTTTTAATAGTGTGAAATGTGGTATTGGCGGAACTGCAAACAGTTCTAGTACTAGTCAGGGTAAAGTAGTTCCAAGTTTATGCTCCATGATGTCTGCATCCTTACAAACACAGAATATTACAATGGGTAGGTGACATCGCATAATTAATTACGTAAACTTATGTAACAAAATTTAAATAACAATTATTATCAAAGCTTGTACATTTATTTTAATATTAAAACTTTAGTTTATAACAATTTAAAGTATATGAATTTTGCACAGAAGGTTCCAGGTATACGTCACATACTACAGCATCTGGAGAAAAGAAATCTTTAGATGAAAATGGAAATGCAGTGCAAAATTATAACGGAGAACGAAAGAAGTCTAGAAGAAAGCAGTCACAAGAACCCAATGTTATTATATATAATGCTGAACAAGTTGAAGGGCATCGTAACGAAGATATCGACAGCTTAATTAATTTTATCGAAAATAAGGAATCTAAAAGTAAAAAAGGAAAACCAGGTAATCCAGTAAGAGTGAAAACTAGCTCTGGAGCAAAACCAAGGAGTAGAGAAAAAGATACTAAAAGAGAACAGTTACCTGCCAAATTGCAGAAATCGAATTCTCTTGAAGAGATATCTAAGACTAAACTTGAAGACCTCACAACAGAAAAAAGTGTTAGTTCCAGTGGTGCCAGTAGTATATCCAGTCAACATGGTAAGTATTTTATACCAATTTCATCTATAAAAATTATTACTTAAATATTAATGCTATTTTTATATTAATTTAATAGCCACGATCAATGTTGCTTTACGACGTGCAAAACAAAGAAGCACAGGGGATGCAGCTATTGACAGTCGTGGTGATAGACGATCCTGGGGAACTGAAGAAGGTCAGTCTATATATTGCAATGATACTGGAGATGATTATGCTAGTCGTCGAAACTCCAATAAAAAAATCAATCCAGAACCTGAACACGAAACAGAATTCCTGGTAGTTACGAAAAAGAAAAAGAGTAAAAAGCAGAGGAGAAGTTCTAGCGGTAGTAGAGCTCAGAATTTGGCAACGTCTGGATCTTATCTTCAAAACTCCAGAGGATTCTCCAATGAATATAGAACACCACTTTCTCCTGAACTTAGAAGAAAATCAGCAAGTAGTATGCCACCAAGGTAATTAATGCAATGTTTTTATTTCATTTGTATCATTTACAAAAATATGAAACTTGTAAATTAATGATATTAGTATTTCTTGTTGTTATTGAAGATATGTCAAATGCTATTAAAGTAATTATTGTTTTTTTTTTTCTAGCGATAAATCGGATAGTAGTGACTCTGATTCTGTCCATTCATTGCCAGTAACATCAAACACGTCCAAACACAATTTATCAAAAATAGCTACCTCATCGGGCGGAACGCCGCAGGCAAGTTACGCAGATATAGCTCGCATGGCAACTATTAATATGACACACAATTCAGTGTTGAATATGTCTACAATTGTCCCAACTATGTTAAATACGTCTTCTTGGCCTAGTGTGCCACCTAAAACACCCTCAGAGCCAGATAAGATTCCTCAAGATTATTATCCTAGTTTAGATGAATTACAACACTCGGATAGAAAAACAAGGCAACATAACTTCACTCATTCGAATCACATTTTGAACCTAAGTTTTGAAAAACCGCCTTCTCCGACATTGGTAAAGATGAAGAATTTAACGGAAAGGAAAAAAGCAGAAGCTCAAGAAGAAGCTATTAATAAAAACATTCAGGTTATTAAATATGTTCAAGATGTTGAAAAAATGCGTCAGAATTTAACGCAGCAAGAGCAAAAGAACGCAAATACTAATAGTCATAGCACAATTCCAAATGAGGTGTCAGTAACGAATCCAGTGCCATCAAAGCTCAATAATACAATAACGAATTGTAATGTTGATTCTGACAACAATAATTCTAGTGGTAACAATGTTAATAATAAAGATACAACTGTGAACATGAGGTGTAACAATCCTCGATCACGCCGAGGCTATGTTCAAAGCAATCAAAATGTACAAACTCAGGCGTCGTACGAAGATCAACACTTCAAAAAAACTGGATATTCCCATCACGATGAGAATACTAAAAAGTCAAATACCACGGAAAATTCCAGTACTCATTCTGAGACTAAAAATAATCCCGGAACGGGATCATCTGACGAGGTCGAGTCACAAAAATCCAGTACTCAGAATAATCCAAAATTGTCGCAAGAGATACAAACTACTGATTCGGATGTTACAAAAATAACCAAAAACGAAAAGTTAACGAAAACTATAAAAGAACAGAACAATAATATTAAACAGGAAATAATTAAATCAGGAAATACCCATTCGGTTAATTCCAAACAAGATCAGCAAGAAGATGCTGAATCGAAGAAGACTAAACAAGGTGCAGCTGTGGATAAAGACCAGAAATCCGAATCTCAGCCATCTAATAAACAAAAGACTTCAAGACCTGCGGTCATATTATTGGACGAAAGTTCGTCCGATATTTCTAAGAACAGTGAATTGCCAACAGAGCTTAGGTTTGGATTCGAAATTAACGAACAACTATTATTATCCGAAGAATCAGTAACCGAAGAGACTTCAACTGCCAGTTCTGTTTTTCCTTCTGTAGTTTCTCCGCTTATAAGTAAACCACCTTCTAATTTCGATAGATACCCTCCAATATTTGAAAAACATATGAGATGCAATAAATTTGCGCCAAATTTCATGCAACCTCCAAATACTCATGTAACGCAACAGCCTATGCCTTCGGTAATGGTGCAGCGATTGCCGTGTATGGGTTATCCTTCAAGGTTTCCTCCACCCACGTGTCTACCGCCGCCACCTGCACCTCCCCCAGGAATAATGGACAAATACCATCATCAACCAAAAGAGGATTTTTCTATGCTATACGTAGCACCTGAAGAAGACGTTAATATACAAACGTACAATCATGATAAAATTGTCTCGTTTGTTGGCTTAGGTAAGCAATTTTCACCTTTAAAATTGTATACAATTTTTAAATATATCACTAAAATATTTATTAGCAGTGTTGTAATAATTTGAAAAGTAACATTAAACTGTGCGTTAATGCTTTAAAAGTGATTCCCAAATTTTGAAGTTATTACTCAGAACAAATTATTCAAAATATCCATGGGAGTTTTTATTTCAATTATAATCTAAAAGTAATTAAGATTATTCAAAAATTTCAATCAAATGGTGACTACCAAGATCTCTAAGTTTGAGAATCACTGTTTTAAATGTTTCCAAGTTTCCTTTCCAATATCCTATAACATAATTGTAATATTTATTTTATTTCGAAGTAGAAATTAACATATCTTTTTGTTTCTGGGTTAATATATAGCATGGGATGCCGTTATGAGAGAAATGCCAGTGACAGCAGGTGGTCGCATACAGTTCTATAGTGGTCAGTGAAATGGGCACTAAGAATATGGGGTAAATAACACAATGTTTTTGTACTGGAAAATTACCTCTATCGCAAGTTATCTGTTATAAAGTGTAAACAGCTCGAAGAGTCTGTTTACTAAAATGCAAGACCAAATATGTATCTGAATAGAAACAAAATGATCGAACCACTATCAAACAATCACTGAAACTTTTAGTGTCGATCATAGCAAAGAAGCTATGCTATAGTTTTCAAATTAAATTATCAGTGATAATTCTGTAAAGCCAACTGGCGCAAAACGTGCCTCAAAAGATAATGTACATAATAGTCAATCATCAGAAGAAGAAGAAGAAGAAGAAGACAAGACTTACGTATTGTACGTTCTGACTGTACATACGCTGAAATGTTACAAATACCTTTGGGAAGGTTGTAACAACATTAAAAGTCTCAGTATTGACGTCTATTACGATATTCGACTGAAATTATTAACGAGCAAAATATATTTTGCTCTTGAAAAGTACGCAAGCAAAATTTCCTTGTACAAAAGTATGAAAATTCATATATTCATATAATATCCGGTATATGTTTTGAAGAAAACACCTTTCGAATCAACATGAAAGTGAAGCATTTTGGAAGAAAATAAAATAAATATAGAGGCAATTTAAATTAACTTTAAATAATTTTACCACGAAGCAGGTTCTTCAAGAACTGCATCTGCTGTGACAGTGGTTTAATATTGATGCCTTTCAAGTAAACAAATACATACGTAGATCTTTGTAATAAAGTTTACAAATAGTCGAGGAAAAGACAGAAAGAAAGAAACCCATTACGTTAACTATGCCAAATTGAGATCGTCCGTCAGAAATATTGCTAAACTACTAACAGTTATGTTGTATAGTTGCCAGTCGAGATGATCTTTAAAAACAGCGTCTTAAAACAAGGATTGTTGCAGCAGTCAGTGAGTCTTCGAAGAAAAAACTTTAGAAAAGTTAAAATGGAAAATAGTGGTTGCTAGATTACATGTACTTTATTTAAGACATCATAAAAGAAAAGTAAAGAAAGCTATAAAAGATGTGTAATGAAGTGTAATGAAAATGGTGAATGTAAGTGTGTCATTGAACAAGTGTAAAATATTTAAAAAAAAAAAAAAAGGAAAAAATAGTGTGATTGACTTGCAACTTTATTGAAGTGGTTACTTCTTCCAGCCGCGACAGATAATAGTTTAAGAGATTTAAAACAAAAACAAAACGGAAAAAAGGGCAAGAAAAAAAAGAAGGAATCATAAACTGATTTTTTTTTTGCAAAGAGAGGTTGCGCTCAAGATCATAAACTGGATGAGAAACAGTGAGAAAAAAGTGCGAATGTGTCGAAAACAAAACAAACAAAAAAACGCTAAATTTTTACACAGACTCGCTTATTTAAAGAATAATTAATTATTAATTACTGGTAATGATAATTATAATAAAATACTTGCTTGTGATCATAAAGTATGATGGTGCGAATGCGTGTGTAGTTTATGTAGATATTCTTCTACTAGCAGATGTCCAATTTTATTTTGAAAGTTACGTTTGAATTTTTTTTTTCTTTTTTTCTTTCTTTTGTTTCTCGAACTTCCAATCGAATTTATGTTAGTTTTCTAAATTGGGCAAAACGAAAACAGTAATACACTTTGTGGTTGTTACTGATCTACACTAAGAAAATGAAAACAAACTTATACGAGTAATCAATCAAAAAACAAACAAAAAAATACAAAAACACCATGGATTTAACATAATTCCTTTCATGACGATTCCATTCGTTGTATAGGAAGCCTACCTCCAACATATACATACATATTTTATTTTTCGATAAGTGAACAAAATAGCGAAACAGATGACTTTACATTGTGTTTTCATTCAAATGCAGATTTCACGCATCTTCAGCAAAAGATATGAATGATTAGAAAAGTGTGTGAAATCTTATCGCCTTTGAAAGTGATGATAAAATATAACAGACTACTGCAGATAAGTTTCGTATAAAGGAATGAAAGTGTATTTGTCTATTTAGATTATCATTATTATTATTATTATTATTATTATTATTATTATTATTATTATTACTATCACTACTACTATTATTATAATTATTATTAATATTATTATCATTATTAATGAGAAGTTAATAGTTATTAACAACTTCAAATTGGCAATTTTTGTTATTGCTTTCTTTTTGCAAAATTTCATTTTATTGAAAGAATGCGAGCTCCATTGATATTTTCTATTTTGTTCAACAATATAGTAACAGTACAGCTGGGGGTACAGCTTTCAGATGATTAATATGGTAATGTAACATATTTAAGAAAGAAAAAAAAAAAATTATCGATGCATTTTGGAATATACCTTGAAGAAAAAGTCATTCTGTATGGTCTGAACAGGTTTTCAAGAAACATGACATCGTGAACTCGAATACCACGTTTAATTTCATTATTAATATTTTAACGGAATAATAGAAAACGTGATGTGAATCATTCAAGCACACATTTACTTGTTCATTTTATACTACCCATTTTATATACTTTTAACATATGTAAAGGAAAGAAAAGATAGTCGCAAAAATATTCCTTAATAAACTGTATACTATATTATATAAGAAAAACAACAACAAAAATAGTTCTCTAAGAATGTAGAAAAAAGCAACATCCAATTGTGACTAATTCATTTTTAATCGCAAGACCTCTTTATTATTCTAATTACATCACGTGATAGTAACGATCGTTTTATCATTGCTTTAATTGGATAGGTGACATTTCTTCAGGGTATATGTTTGATCCGACATGCAGGAAACTATTTAAAAGTCAGGTGCTCCATCGCCTTAAAACGTTAGTAGAATGCAGTATCAGCCTGTGCCGTTGACCGGTTCGAATGGCCAACATTACTAACTTCGCAGAGATTAAGCACAGAAGTACTTGATGAAAATAGGACCATAGAGCGTTTGTTTATTAGCGAGCGTCAAGTGGCAGCTATGCTGAAACGATGTTATATTTGTAACATGTGGTTTATCGATAAGAAAAGAACAAAAATGTAATATACAGTTCTTTTCGGAACGCAGGAAAATTGTATTAATAGAAATCATTAACCTTTTGCGCTTGCACTACAAATATGCATAGATAATATACAGGGTGTTTTATAATAAAAGTGGTTTAGGACCTGCAGAGCACACAATGTTTAAACAACTGAGGAGGAAATGTTTATGAATATATGTTGAAAAATCAATCCCTTCAAAACCGTAAACAATTCTTATCTTTAGATGATAACTGATTTTAGTTTCTAGTTTTTGGGTATGATTGGGGGGGGGGGGGGGGGGGGGGGGCAGGCCAATGTTTTATTAATATTGCAGTTAACTTTATTAAGGTCACGCGATTCATTGATGGTCTGACTTTGTTAAGAAAACGTAAAGAAAACCCAACAAAAAAAGGATATAACTTACATCAAAAAATACATTTAGTATAATATCATACATCTATTAGAAAGGCTAATAATAATTAATCATTGCCATTTAGATTGCGCATTTCTGTAGTAAATATCTATATTTTAACAAGTTTTATGCTGCTTGGGCCAGTGGTGATCAATTGAAGAACAATAATTTTTGATTTAATATAAAAGATTATTATAACAGTATAAATACAATTTTTTTTTAGAATCAAGTAGTATCATAAGAATTTTGTTCTTAGTGTAAAGATACAATTAATTTAAAAATAATACACATTTTTTTTTTACTGTTAATTTACCAAAGCTACAAATACTTCAATATTGTTTTTTATATTATACAAAAGGGGAAAAAAGGATTGTCTTTGTATAAATAAAACTGATCTACTTGTGGATGCAACATAATTATGATGCATGTGAAAAATTAAATGAAGTATCAGTAAATTACTGAATTTGCAATTTTATAATGTAAAGATATTTTCTGTGTAAATATGCAGATATAAATGATTGAATTTTCGACATACGTTCACTAAACAATCTTCATTCATTTACTATTTACTATTCAAGTTTTAAACTTTTTTTTTAAACACTCTGTATACTATCCTGATTCGAGTACCATTCAAAGATGTTCAGAAATTTGTACCTATTCTAAGTACTATTTTTTTTACTCTTAGTGAGAAAGTAAGTTTAAGTTTTTCTGTTAAAAATTCTTAATTTATATAATGAACATCGAATGAAACAGAAATAACTGAATAAAAGAGTGCAAAGGGTTAACAAATCCGAGAAGGGTATACAATTGAGAAAGCGAATCTTTTCTTTTTCTGTTTTCATTTCTAAAGCGTTTGAAGATGTGAATAATAAAGAGACAGCGTTGTTTTCGTTCAAACGACAGGCTAATTGCATTTATCCATGAACTCTCTCGTAGTCTGTATTGTAACATAAAGTACACATACATATATGTTTTTCTCGCAATGGGCACAAAACGGATTTTGTGAACTTCGTAATCTAGAAAGAAAAATCAAATTGCTATTGCACATTCTGTTCTCAGCTATATTATTAACGATATAGATTCGGTTGAACTGTTGAAACATCGCTACAATATAAATTAATACATTGCGTACAACATTTTCTTTGTTCTTAATCCTTAATGTATGTATAGAGTGTGACAAAATTCTTAGTACAGATGATAATCATGGAATAAATTTTGTTGAAATTTTATGAAGTACACGTGTATTCGTGGTTACGATGTTTGGTTAGTTAAAAAGGTCCACCCCATCAGATAATTAAATAAATACATACAATACAATTATATGATTAATAGCAAGGTGAGAAATTTCTAATAATTTCTTTACATTTTAGTAGTATTTCTGAAGCTAAACGATTTAGTTTAGAAAAGAAAACCTAATTCAAAGTTGTAACAAATACGTTGATTAGATAACGAATTTAAAATTTCATACAATTAATATTTATTTGAACGGGACATGTATTAAATAATAAGGAAATTGTCAGATTTTAGAAGAAAATTTAGTATTTGTATTAAACCACGAATTCAAGTTACATGTTTGCAAATTTATTTAGTTTTGCAAGTAAATGCATATTTGTTTGGGAATGAGCAAAATTTATTTCATAATTTCAATCTATTTTTACACCAGCTTTAGCCATTTATTTTATTTTCGTATCACTAAATGAATTTGACATAAATCTACTTTGAGCTTCTTGTAGGTATTTAACTAAAGCTGTATAAGTTTGACAATACACAAACATCATACATTTATTATAGTTATTTCTGTTCCGTTGAATTATGACTCTCGCGCAATGTGTTAATTTAAAAGAAGCCAAATGGTTGATGTTATTATCTCATTTTGAATTGTTGAACTCGTGAATACGTAACGCGTGTGTACATACAAGTAGGAGAGCACACTGACAGAGAACGTTACTATTCGTTGAATCGTGCATAAAATATTTATTTATTACTCTTATTATTATTATTATTTTTGTAACCCTTTCGCTGAGACAGAAAACTACACAATTTGACCGCTTGGAATGCTTGGGCGTGCTTTTAAACAATATCATTTTCAAATATAGAAACAGTATTTTTTTAGTTAACACGTTAACTGTTATGGTAGAAATAATTCCATGGTTAATATGGCAGAGACGTATTGACCGAGGATGCATCTTTGAACAATATTATTTCCAAATTATTTTGAATATTGAAACTGAAATTTCGGAACATAAAAAGGTTCTATGGAAATCATATTTTTTTAATTGTACTAAATTACAACGATTAATAATTAATATTGCTTAACTCGGTAAAGTCGAACGATTTTTCGAAATTTGCCGTAGGTTTCTGAATTTATGAAGTTGAACCTAAGAATTTTGGCGTGGCTATGGAGATAGATCTATGATCACAACGTATTAACTAAGATATTACTAATTAATTTTTTATTATAATATTTCAGGTTCCTATTTTATAAAGTATATAGTTGCGTCTTTTCAGTGATATTTAATATCTTTTTTTCTTTATTTTGATAAATTTAATATTTAAATTGGCACAATGAAGCTCAAGTTCTCACAAATTGTTACCTTAATTATTAGTATAACGGTAATTGTTGTTTCCTCCTTTATTTTTTAAAATTCTTTGATCCTAATTTTTGTATTAAATGCTTTAGTTTTTTATATACAATTACCAATGTGATTTTAATAGTATTCAAACAATTCCCATAACAGTTAACGTATTACAATTTATTTTCTAATTTATTACAATTTGCCAAAATTTTTCAAAATTTCTTGTTTCATTTATTAATTTATTTAATTACATTAAAGTGGTAGCGTCGGTAATTAATAATCTTCGTGACAGTCGATGTGTTATTAATTAATTTACTGACATTATAAATATAATATTAAGAAGACGATTTCCTACGTAAACAACGAGATCTTTATGGTAATAATTGTTAACACTTTACCAATCGAAAACTAATAAATAAGTCTCTGATTGTTAATGAGCCATCTATGATTTAATTGACTTTCAATTTTTCTTTTGTATTTCGTTTTTCATCTTCATTTTTCTAAATTTTAAACTACTCCTTTGCAGATTATTTTTCTAATACTTCAAAAATTTAATTGCTTAACAGTCCCTTTGTGTATTTCTTAGCGGTCTGTGTCGACTCCTTTGTTAGAGCAGGTAAAGTGTTAATATTAGAGCAGGTCTCAAACTAATATCAATTTTGAATATTCTTATAATCAGAAAAATAACAACTAAACAAACGAATAAAATTCGAAAGTGTAGCAAAGGGGTTAAAACGAATCCATTATAATTTGAACCGCTTTGTACTGTTTATACACCATGAAACATCGCAGAGGTAATTGTGTATGTTTAACCGATTACATAATTGTACTGTAATCGCATAACGAGTTATCTAAACATTTTTGGCATTAAATTATAATTTTCTTCAATATCAATGCTGAATGTATCGAATTCGCACTCAATTAAAGAAACTTTCCAGAAATGTTTAAATATTATCGCAGGCGTATTGGTGGTGTTCAAAAGGGCAAAATAATACTTAGCAAAGAAAAAAAAAACGAGTATCCAACGATCTCAGTGTTAGCCTTGTATCACTGTACAATTTGTTATTCAGTATGAAATAGTTTTTCTGTGCTGTACATACGTATATTAATAACTATTAATTAACTATTAATTGTATCGCTAACTAATTGGTAACGAAGAAGAAAAGCAAAAGTTATCGCAGAGTGCTTGTGCCGTATAAAAAGAATTTAAGAAACACAGAAAAAAAGAAATAGTTATTTTGCGTGTATGATAAAGGCTGTGCTGCCCAGCTGAAACTAACGAAAAAAAAAATAATGAACAATGGAGAGAAAGAATGTTGTTGCCAACGTTTAGTATGTTACCAAAGTTTTCCCTTTCATGGGTATTTAAAAGAAAAAAGAAACAGTATAAAGTAATATTCGAGTTTCTTTTTTCCCCACTTAATTTCGTTTTCTCTTTTTTTTTTCTTTTTATTTTCACACGTCGAAATTGACTGAATAATATGGAATTTTTTTACAGCGATTCGAAATATGATATAAGTTTATTTATGTATACATATCTTTTTTTCTTTTTAATGATTTATGTGATTAGGGAGTATAGATAAGTAATTGTGATAATCGCGAATTTTATAATTGAGATATTGTTTCTGCCGAGCTAAATGGCTAAAATGAAAGAAAAACAAAGTGAAATTATCATCGAATATTACTTGCATACTGTACTTTGCCGGTGATAATATGTATTCGGACGATAATTCGTGGTGCTTTAGTAAAATTTTCAGACAAAATTTTTCTTTCCTAATAAAAAGCATCGATCTCGAATTTGAAGATTGAAATAGTGAAGAAACTGAAAATAGAACTTTATTTTTTTGAACGTGTATAAAGTTTCGAATAATTACTAGATTGGCAATTAAATTCATGACTTTCACATTTTTTCCCACAGAATTATTTTAACATACTGAGCTCGGGACAATTTTTGTAAGATTTACTAAAAAATCAACAATTATTTTGATGCAAAATATATGGGAAGGTCACGAATTCAGTTATCAGTTTAACTCTTTATTGCATAATTTCTTTTTCTAATTTAAAAAAAGAAATACAGTTCTTTCGCTACTGTAGAAATGTATAACATTAAAAATTTTCAAAAATTAAAATTACAAATATTAAAAAAAATATAAGGATTTCATTATATTTTTGTAACATAATGCAACGAAGGGCTAATAGAGTATTCGAACAATAAAAAATTTTGTTTTAATTTAAAGGTTTTACTGTTTTGTTCTAGAATTTTCATCAGTAGTAATTAACAAAAGTTATAATAATAATAGTTTATTTAACACGTTGACTGCTAGTAAGGGCACACGACTTTCAATCTTTATGCCTTCTAAGCTCAAATAAATCCTTGTCTTACGATTTTTGTAACAATTGGATACACATATAGAATTAGTACTTTAGAATTTAGATATTTGTTATTTGAATATCAGAACTGGTGAACAGAATTAAAAAACACCCTGGAAATACCCGAGATTAAGGCTTAAGATTGTATTAGGTGTATAAATTAATTCGGTATTTGTAGTATTACATCTTCTTAATTATTATTTTAAATTTGAATATTTTGCCGCGCTTCTGTGTATTTGAAAAATGACAACAAAGATATAACAACAACGATTACTTCAATAACTGGAATTATCATTACTTTAAAATAAATTACTTTGAATTAATTTGTACATCTCATATTTGTATTAAACAGCATTAATTTATTTTTAACAAACATCTTCATTAATTAAAAGAATAATGTAACAAATTTTCAACTTAAACAAAAGTAATGCAATTTCATTTGAACAAAAGTATAAAACACTATCTCCGAAAATGATAATCAAATGCGATTTTAATATTAACAATGGGTAGATTATCTTTTATGTTCTATTACCCTTGAACATTCTATTAATCCTTGAACAGCGGAGTCTGGGTTAAACGAAAAAGTTTCATATATTGGAAGAATAATTTTTAAAGTAGTAGTAGTAAAATTTAGAAAATGAAAATGAAAATGTAAATGAAATTGAAATTAGGGCTCTCTCCGCGGTCCGCCATTCGACGGTTAAATAAAATTTTAAATAAAAGGAGTTCTATCGTATAAATCCACCATTCGTAAACACAAACCACCGATTTATCGTCAGAATACGTAAAAAAACCATAAAACGGCTACCGCTTTACTATTTTGTTACTAATAATACTGAGAACTTCAGATTCGTGCAAAAGATTATCATGGATCATGGGTGTAAAAGAATCATTGCCATGGAGTGTGTAACAAACGAAGAAGTGAACGAAAAAAGTAAAAAGACAAGAAAAAGGAAAGAGTAGCGGAGAGAATGAGAAAGTATGTGTGAGAGAGAAAGTAGAAGAAAGTGTGCGGAGAATGCTGTTTTTAAATGCTTCTTCTTAAAAAGTGAGATATAAACAAACAAAAAAAAGATATTGTCCTCCTCAGATAATTATTATAATACCGTGAAGAAGAAAAAAAAGAGCGTATAGTGTCGCCATTTGGCCTTTATACTGTTCTATCTGCGATTTCATATAAGCTTTGCGTACGATACTGTGATATGATAAGTCGCTCTAATTTTTTCGTGTTTCTTTTTCTTTTTTCCTTTCTTTAGTCGCATACGTGCGTAGAATTCGAAAGGAGAAGATTTTTATCGAGCGTCTCGATAAACGTCGATGTGTATTAAAAAAAAGAAATAGAAAAAGTAACGACATGAAAAGTGCGAGAAAGAAAGAATCCAAGGTAATTTGCGTTTAATTTGTAAAACGATCGAGCCGCTAGCATAGCCGCAGAGACTAATTGTATATCGAATAAAAAGAGTAAAGAAACAAAAAATGAAAATCTGTACGTTTCAGCAACAGATGCGCCGAGAAAATATATAAAATATCACGATAACAAGAAATCATGAGGGAAAGAAACAAAATTTTCAATGTTTTTCATTTATTGCTGTTTGTTTCTCTATTTGCTCATCTAAAAAGATTTTTTTATTTTTTTTTTGTTTCGTGTAGTGAGGGGGTGTTGTGTGTGTGGTTTTTTTTTTTTTTTTATCATGATGAAAATAGAATCATCTTGAACAAATGCTAAAATGTACACACACACGCAAGCACAGAACAAATATTTTGAAAAAAAAATTAGGATTTTTTAATAAGTTGACTGTAATAATTATGCAAGGTACACTCGTGGTCAAATCTGACTTCCAGAGCAAAAATTTGCAGTACATATAGCGGAAGTAAGAATTTTCAAAATCTTAATTTTCACGATATAAACATTTTAAGTGATTTATTAATAGAATAATATGATTTTTAATTGTTATGTATTAATACATTACTGAATAGTGTATAAAAAAAGCAAGTATTAATTCAAATTTTCCCGCGCAAACGTTTATGCGCAAGGGTAGAGGATCGCTACGCGTACATACATATAAGTACTGTACATGAGACCTCTTCGTTAGATTGTCCCTTTCTCCGAGCGTGCCTACGGAAAAGAACAGGAGCCCGGGATATTACAAATACTTTCCTTAGCAAAGCCTGATTTCATCGCCAGTGTACCATCATTCAACTTTACAATTTATTATTTAAGTTATAGGATAATAGTAATACCATTTAAAATCTTTAAAGTCTGTTATTAATACTATATATTAATCACTTAATTATAATTTTTTAATTCAATGCTTCGGTTTCTTAATTGGGATTTTAATACTATTCCAAAATGTCTTCTTTCATTTGTTAATTACTTGATTAAATTATTAGATATACAAATTAATTCAATGCCTTTAGCACTACGCCTTCTTAATAACCATATTAGTAATAAGTAGCGCAGAACTGTAACAACGATGATTATTTGAATAATTAAAGTCATCGTGATTTTTTTAAAACAAATCTTCAATTTGAAAAAAAAACACTGAATTAATTTGTACAGCTAATAAATTCTTAATGCCAATCATCAATGACCTCTATAGTAATCAATGTATTGACGGTTAATTTTTCAATCTAATATTTTAATTTGCTATTTTGAATTATCAGGGTTATCTAGAATTTTCCTTATTTCTTTAGTTGTTACTTATATAACTAAAAATTTATGTGTGCTGTACACTGACCATTCTAGTCGCCGTTCAATATTTCTTTTGTAATTATAAAATTAATTTAGTTAACGTTTTTCTATCCGACTGCCCTTAGTTGGTTACTTAATAAAAAAAAAAGAAAGGAAAGAAAGAAGAAACCATTATTAAATCGTGCGACATTCCTTTGCATTATGTTTCATCAGCATAGGTACTTTATCTGATCGATCTTACACCGATGACAAGTTACTTTATATCCATAATTCATTCTCCCTTAATTCACGAAAAAAAGAAAAACACTTTATTGTTAGCCAGTAAAACGTATTCTGCCATTTCTTTTTTCTTTGTTTTTGTGTATGTACATATGTATGTATGTGACGAATAAGAGTTCTGTCTTCAATGAAAGAAAGAGTGTGTTGTATTTTAAAGGGACACAGTGTAGAAGAGTGGGAAAAAAAGAAAAAGAAAGAAAAGGAAAAGTGCAAATGGTGATGCTAACGCAAGGAGATAAATATGCGACAGGGAATTACGTTCACGCTAATAAGTAACACGCACGTTGTCATTTGTTGTTATTATGAATGATTATTATAACTATTATTATTATTTTCTCTCGTCTTTCAGTCAATGTTAAACGTTTTTATGTTCTTGTTCTTTTTAGTTTCTTTCGTACATCATAGGATGTACAAGGTGAAGCAAGAAATGATTCCTTATATAAAAATTAATTAAAATAATATAACGATTTTTGTTTTCTAGAAATTCAATTTAAAAATTTGTTACCTTTACATTTATATTTTTAATACTTTAAAAATGTGAAAAATACAGCTTATTAGTAGTATATAAGGTTTTCATTTCTTTAGAATAATTTACTTTGCTAATATTTCAGAAATAACAGAGTATTTTTAATCAGAACAGTTTCTGACAATATCATTTTGTTCCACCTTTAAATAAAACATGGATACTGCAGTGAAGGAAATCTGTAAATAAAATCATTGAAAGATAATTGCACTTCCTTAGCTATACATAGATGACACAAACGTTTGTACACCACTAATAATAATAATAATAATAGATTTTAGTGGTATTAATAGTTTCATTAATTGCTTTATTCTATATTTTCAATTAATGTTTATGTGAAGAATCATTTTCTATCCAATTATACGATTAGCTTCACCCTGTATATACATGTTGTATATTAACATTTTGTCTTCTTTTAATTTTTTTTTCTTTAATTCTTTGATCATAACGTTGAATCAAAACAATCGATTAAGTTTTTTTTTATGGTCTTGTGTGCACCATTCGATCTCAACACCAAATGCGCTTCTCAAATTCATTTATGGTACGCGCATACTTTCACGCTTTTTTTCCTTCTATTTTTTTCTCATTTATTTCTTTCTAATTGCCCATGTTTTTTTTTGGTTGCACCAAATGTGCAATGAATGCAAGTTTCTCCGTCAATGCTCCATTTATAAAAGTTGTTACGTTGTTATCGCGAAGAATTTGTATTCATTGCATTAACTGTGCAAAATTTTGTCGACTGTTGTAAAAAATCAAGATCAGTAATTTTGTTGAAATGTTATGTGTATACATATAGTATGTATATACACATACACGTACATGTATATGAAGAGTGCAATGTAATATTTGGGACCCATTTCAGAAATAGATTCAACACTTAAAAGCAATTTCAATGAAAATGAGTTCATGTAAGTATACATTGGTGCATGAAAGTATTCGAACAGCATTTACATGTAAACTATGTAGGACAAAAAACCATTTTTAAAGTACGCACTTTGTATTAGCTTAAAAGAAATGACATTCTTGAGAAATACTTATAAACAGAGTTCGAATACTTTTGTAACTGACACTACCTCTGATTATAATAAAAATGAAATGTTAACTTACGTTAAGTATATGTATACATGGTGCTTTGTACAGTAGTAATTTATATGTATTTTAGCTGTGAATACCTTCATCTACTTGTACATGTTCAATTCAATCTTGTTTCCGAGTTACAGCGAGTTCTGTTTGTATTCATTTACTTTGATAGAAGATAAAAACTTTAAGTAAAATATACGTAGTATTAATATTTACACCTTGCATCTTGATACAAATATGTAAGCCTCATTGTCCGTCATCTTATCCTTGAATTCCTTGGTAATTTTCAATTCATTAACAAAATATTTTAATCCCAAAACTATTATTACTGGGATACCAAGCTCGCTATAAATCTGAAACAAGATGAAATTAAACCCAAGTTTATATGAATCATTTTTTAAGTGCTGAAACAGATCCTAAATGCTACATCATACTCTGTACATATAATTAGCATTTGAATGTTTCTATCATTTATATGGTAAAAATATTATTATTATTATTATTATTATTATTGTTATTATTACAAGAAAAGTCTGTTGGTAGTGTATTTTCATGTTCTTAAGAACTGGAAAACCCCACATCGAATTTTAATTTCACTGATTAATGTCATCCCGTTGAGACGAGAAACGTCAGACACTTAGGGATGATTTGCATCATCTCAAATAAAACTATTTTTCTAGTTGTATTGTAGAGAATACGATTCTGCGAGTTGTGCTGATTAATTTTGTAAACGCAACACAGCGCAGATGAACCTTCATCGCGTTTCCTAACAAATTATATATCATCAGTTACGTCGTCGTCGGTCGAGCAATATATCAGTGTTGCTTCTTTGTTTTTGTAAAATAGAGACAATAAAGGATATCATTACAAAAAAGCAAACAGGAAATAATGCTACAATGGGCACAATCAATTGGACTGAACGTTCTATTTTTTGTTCTTTTGAAATTTTTTAAAAATGTGTGTTGCGAAGTTTTGAGATAATGAAAAAGATAGATTTAAAAATTTGTTTTAAATATGTTGTCGTTGTAACTAAACAATGTAATGTTTTGTCGAAATGTATAAAATCTTATTTATAAAAACAGGATTTTTGAGTTGTGTAAGATGGAATTTATTTTTTTTTTTAACTCATTATGTGAAAGCTTTTTACTTTTTCTCCTTTTCTTTAAATAATTATTAAATACAATTCTCTGCCATGATTTCAATTATCTGATATTGATGTTCTTTCATTGCTTGACTTTAAATGATGTCACTTGTACTACAAGTTGTTGAGAAAATTACTTGTTTCTGATATTAGTTCCTTGTAGATGATTTAAACTGCTCAATGATATTATCTTGTTTTGATAAGCTGAAAATTGTAATTCCAATTAATATAATTTTGAATATTCATTACTAAATTTCTAGAATTTATTATAGGTACTAGTGCAAAACATTTATCTCTGTTATGCAATTTTTTACAGTTAACAAGTAGACTTTCATGAATATTATTTAGTATTAGTTGTGCAAAAGATTTGAATACAACTTACTCTACCAAGAAAGAAGAAACAAGCAGAAGTTGACAGGTTTGTAATATTCTACATTCTATATCTTTATTTGATATGTTATTTCAATTTATGATTATCTACGATTTTTTCAGCAAATGTAAAAATGTATAAATTATAAAATTAAAATATTACAAATTCTATATAGATGCAATTTTTCAACTAATCTTGCTCTACATAGCAAAAGTCAATCTCTATAATAATTTATACATAATTTAACAGAGGTTTCACCTATTTGAATTATATGTATGATATTTTAATCTTAAATAATATATTTTATTAAAATCTACAAAATACCCATTATTTCCATTACTGAAACATCAAAAGACCTGAAAACAGACATGTATGACTTACTAAATTTTTTTACACACATTATAATTGTAACAATAAATTAAAGTGAAGTACCTGGAATTAACTTGATCACCTGGAATGTAGAATGGATTACACACAGCATTAGAATAAGCTGCATGTAATTTTTTGAAGGTCTGTAAAAGAAATATATTTCTGTCAATTATGTTGATGAATAATAATTGTAAATGCAAGTAATCCAAAATCAAATCCATACCATTTTTACATCACTCTCTCTTGGTAATGCGTTTGATGATTGTAATACTATGACAAATTTGATTTTTGTATTTGTAGCATAACCATATCTAAAATTGTACAATAAAACACTTCTTCTTATTACTACTGTTTAACAACAGATTATAATGAATTGCAGTAACTTAACGTACATTTTATATTCTTCAGTAGCATACAGTAAACCTAAATATAACTCTCTTGTATCTATAGCTGTTTTATTTCCAACATTTAATTTCTCTTCTATAATATCTATTGAAGTATGAACTTTACAATGAAATTGCAACGCTGACGATTCATCTGCACACCTAATATATTTTGGGGAATTCTGAAATAAGTTTTCAAATGTTGTAAATACAATATCTTAACCTTAAAAAGTGTATACATACATCTTTTCCAATTACAGCTACACAAACTGCCATTTTTGATCAATATTACAGGTTTGAGGTATTATAATCCATAACAATATTTAATACACAACTGAAAACTTCAACTCGTTACAAATTATGATAAACGTGTACTGATATTGTTTGTATTCCATAACACGAAAATTATAATGTCACTTTTGACAACTGAAGTGTAATGATGAACTACGTAAATAAATTCAATAATTTGTTTAATTATAGAAATATGTATTTTCGAAATAAAGTATTATACATAGTATATTTCATTGTTGTATTAAGATATTAAAAATTTATCAACAATTGTCGTATTTGTAAACAAAATTAAAATAAATTCTTAAAAATTATATATATAGTAAAATAACAAGTTTCATAGAACAAACAAAACATAAATTTTTTGCACCTACGTACATAAATATATTTATAAATTGTTTATAATTTATTTTAATATTATTTTTAATAATATCTTTTCTTTAGTTCTCTGTATTTGCGTAGCTTATACATAGCTTCCAGTTCGTTAATAACAAAGTTACCATGTTCCAACATTTTTTCGATTTTTTCAGGGTCACGTTCTTCTTTGTTCTTTTCGAACGCTCTTTTTAATTTTCTTTTGAAAAAATCATAACCTCTTGGATAGTCTCGCCCCATAAATAAGAGCTAGAAATATCACTTACTAATAGAAAATATAACTTAAATCTATATAATTAAACGAATTTTAGCCATTTTTATCATTACATATTGCATGTTGTGTAATCATTAGTTTAGTACAAAACAATGCATTTAATATAATAAATAATAAGTTCTCAATATACCAGAATAAAATTGAAATAATTCGTACCGTTTTGTATAAATTAATAACTTTGGAACGTTGAGACATCGATCAAAGTTAAATCGATTGATCAAGAATTAAATTAATGTATGTATAATCAACTTTAGTATCAAACATGTAAATTTAACCGAATACAAAATTAATTTGTTGCCAACGTAAGATTGTTCGCTGATATATTACATATACATACATATGTATATACAAAATGATTGCAATTTTGATAGGTTTATATCATTTAAAACGATGCTGTATGTGCAAAAATGTGAAACAACAAAATGCTTTTAATTATCTTTCGCTTATGCTTATTTTGCAGAATATAACACGCGTTATCAATTAACTGCATAACAAGTCCATTGTTTCTCTCTTCGCTAAAGACAAAAAGTAATGCTAATCATTATTTGAAAATATGTTATCTTTTTATCCTAATTGTTTGACGAAAAACTAATTTTTTTAAATTGGTTTCATTTCCTATTTGCTGATGGTAATCTTTTAACAATAAAGCTGACTCATACTGTAATGTAACAAGAATAATAAATGTGCACGTTGTAGTAGAATATAAAGAATATTTCTTTAAAATTGTTCCTTCCAGAAGAAGCAAATTTTGAATGTCAGTACAGTGCTAAAACATGTTTCAAAAATAAAAGTTTATTCGTTTTTCGAAATTAAAACTTGTATAGAAAGTTGCCAATTGAAAGGGATATTTTAAATTTAAACATTACGAATTTTATTTCAGATATAGTTTGTTTTAAAATATCATTAATATTACTTAAATTACATACAAAAAGAACAGCTTACAAAAAGAACGATGTCCAAAAGTGGCCAAAATTTGCCACATCATATAAATGTATGAAATTAGTCTATTTTTATGTTTTTGGACTGCTAATTACGAATGTTTGGGGAATTTTGTGAAAATGCATTTTTTTTGCATAAAAATCTTGTTTTGTAGAAAGCGTTACCTTATATCATTTTGGAAAGTTTTTTTGCTTTTGAAAGAGCGATAAGTCATTTTGATAGATTTTTTTCGTAGATTACGAATTTGAAAACAAAAGTGTTCCATTTTTGGACATCGTTCTTTATAAGCATGAAAATAAAAACTTTAATAATGTTTGAATAGAGTGCTAAGCGTCATAACCTGGATATTTTAATATATTAATAACTACGTTGTGACGGAAACAATGGACTTTATCCCGTTTAAATTATCGGAAGCATTGTTATCAACCGCAGTCGTATATACAAGTTCGTGAATTCTAAAAGAAGTGCTGAAGGTGCTGAGAATTTGTCGGATCATGTTTATATTTACATTTTACGACTTCAGAGTAGTACGTGTAATGTGAAGAAAATTATTTCTTTTTTTAATTAATGTCTTTTGTAAAAATCATTATACAGGTCAATTACTGTAAGTGAAAGATGAATACGACTAATCCAAGTTTATGTATTTTTAATTAAGTTTCTTTGGGTTATACATTTTGTTTCAAACTAATGATTTTGTGTAAAACTGTAGAAGCACTTGAAATTGATTGTTTTTTTGAAAAGGTCGCAATTTTTACAAAAATAACGGTCAAATTTCGTTTTAGGGGACCAAAAATTTTTGGTTAAAAAATATTATAGTTTTTGACCTGAAACATTCGGAAATACAAGTTAAAAGTTTAAGAAACTGCTGGTTTAAAAAATACGATTATATGAAAAAAGTGTATTTAGCGTATACTTGGACAGGTTAGTACGACACCATACCATATTGTTTCTAAATACGCATTTTGTAATTAGTTCGCTGAAATGACTGTAACTTCCAGTTATCTTATTTAGAAATATATTGCTCCTTGATAGCTGCGATCAAAGAATCCATAAGAGGTACATATAATATCACATAAAAGTGACCGGTCACCTTACGGCGGCCGGAAATTTTAGTTTGATCTAACCTAACCGAGATATGTGAACCAATCAGAAGATGGGTATGGATGGGTAGAAGCAATATGGCGTCGTACTAATTTGTCAAAGTATACTAAATATTTACGCTTTTTTTACGTATTTTTTAAACATGTGGTTTTCTAAACTTTTAATTTGCATTTTCGAATGTTTCAGGTAAAACTTTACTTTACCGGATCCAAAATTTTGGACCTTTTTTTTTTGATTCATAGGTTTTTTGCGTAGAATCTGAAAATGCAAGTCTTAACTTTAGAAATCCAATGGTTAAAAAGTTATAAGCGTGTAAAGTTTGACATTTTTAGCGGAGTTGCTACGTTACTGTGACGCCATATTGCGTTATATGTATAACCTGATTGGTTCTCGCATGGGCAGTACAGTCTCTTTCTAAAATAAATATAAACCTAACTAACTCAAACAGTATCAAAGTTACGATTTGACTGAACTCGCTTGAGTGATCGGTACCCACATGCGTCTGCCTGCAGCTAGCGACACCGTTCATTGGACAAGAAGCCAATATGGCGTCACAGTAACGTAGCAAATGCACTAAAAGTGTCAAACTTTACATGCTCATAACTATTTAACCATTGAATTCTTAAAGTTAAGACTTGCATTTTTGGATTCTCCGCATCAAAAACTATAGATTCAAAAAAAAAAGGTGCAAAATTTTGGGTCCGGTAAACTAAAGTTCAGCCTAAAAAAAAAATGTCCAAAATTTTGGGTCCGGTAAAGTAAAGTTCAGCTCTCTGGATACTTACGACGTAAATATCTAATTTAATACTGTGTTGGTTATTTCTGTTTCAGAAACATAAAAATGCGTGTTTTCACTATAATTTTCTCTTTGATAATAATAGGTAAGATTGTATTTATTAATACATTTATATATCATGTAATAAAAGTATCTAAATAAATATATATCATTTTTTGATAGGTAATTTTGATATTGAGGCTGTTAAATCTCCAACATTTAGCACTAGTTACACAGCAAAGGGAACCTTGTATATCCCATATGCTGAAATTCGAGAACCATTTTATGCATGGTATGATGGTAAAAGTGGATCTAGCAGAATAGATTATTATGGAGGTAATTGACATTTAAACCAGTCAGTCTTTTGTTAATCTTTCTGAATAAAATGTTAACTTACTTTTGACTTAATTAGGAATGGTGAAAACTTTCCAACTGTCAGGTAAAGGATCTTATGGAATAAGTATAAAAATTGCTCCGATCACTACAGAAAGTATTTTAAACGAAGAAACATGTCTTGAAGTAAATGGTACTAGCCAATTGAAGATTCAGCCTCAAACCATTATTCCAGATACCTTAGGAATGGAGGTAACACAATATTTTCTCCTTTTTCTTTATTTATACTTAACATTGAATTGTGATATTCAACTCTGTTTCAGTGTATTGGGGAAGAAATAGTTAATGGATTATTATGTGAAAAATGGAGGCTTGTAGAAAGTATTAACGAGAAAATAAACAAATATACTCTTTGGATAAGATATAAGGTAAAATAATTACATTATTACTTATTATTACTTACAATTAGTAGTATCTGTTTAATTATTTTATAATTGATTGTAGAAATCTCCTCGCATACCTCAATTTAAAGAACCAATTCCTGTAAAGTATGAAATGAGAGGATTTAATAGCCTCTTGGGTTCTCACTATGATCATTACTATTTGGATTATGATTGGTACTCTGCTGAGACACCTAGTTCAGAAGTGTTTGAAATTGGGGAAAGTACGTGGAATATTTTCTTTCTATTCATATAAATTTTATTCAATAATATTTTAACTAAATAATGTTTTTCAATAGATTTAACGTGCGTTAGTTTCCCTGGACCCGGAGACAAACACATATATACATTCAATCCTATGCGTGAATTCGTTCATAATTACGACGCACATATGCACGAAGCGTTCGAAAATTTCAAGATGGCTCATAACAAGGAATACATAAGTGAAGTAGACGAATTGGCACGCAAAGAAGTTTTCAGACAGAATTTAAGGTATGCATTACGCATTTATATACTGTAATTATGTAATAATTATTTTCATTTAAAACATTTTCAGATTTATTCATTCGACCAATCGCGCTAATAAGGACTATCAATTAGACGTTAACCATTTAGTAGATCGTACTGATTTAGAATTAAAAGCTTTACGTGGTAAACAATATACCAAAGGCTATAATGGAGGACAACCTTTCCCTTATAATACTGAAGAAGTGACCGAAGTTCCAGATTCTTTAGACTGGAGGCTTTATGGGGCTGTTACTCCTGTTAAAGGTTGGTATTTACATTTATGTAACAAATCCTATAGATTTTAAATCAATGAATAATTATTTTTGATTAAATAGATCAATCTGTTTGTGGCTCTTGTTGGAGTTTTGGTACAACAGGTGCCGTCGAAGGCGCTTATTATTTGAAATATGGAAAATTAGTACGCTTATCTCAACAGGTAAAGAAATTAAGAATGCAGTTATTATAAATGGTATAAATAGAAAATATTTATTATTTTTCTATAATTATAGGCTCTTATTGACTGTTCATGGGGTTTTGGAAATAATGGCTGTGATGGTGGTGAAGATTTTCGATCTTATCAGTGGATCATGAAACATGGAGGTCTCCCCGCAGAGGATGAATACGGTGGTTATCTTGGACAGGTAAATCAAAAGAAATACATGCTTTTTCAGTGTAATTATGATTATCTAGAATACGTAGAGATTAATACGTGTTGATATTTTTTTTTTTAGGATGGTTATTGTCATGTTAATAACGTTACAAGGGCAGCTAAGATTACTGGTTACGTGAATGTTACATCTGGAGATCCCAATGCTTTGAAAATTGCCATTGCGAAGCACGGACCAGTTTCAGTCGCAATTGATGCTGCTCATAAAACATTTTCATTCTATTCTCACGGTGTATATTATGATTCAGCCTGTGGTAAGTAAATATAATATTTTTTGTTATTTTTTAAATGATGTTTGATATAAATATAATTTATTTACCCAAAGGTAACACAGAAGAAGCATTGGATCATGCAGTTTTAGCTGTTGGTTACGGTCAACTGAATGGAAAAGATTATTGGTTGATCAAGAATTCATGGTCAAATTACTGGGGTAATGATGGTTACATTCTTATGTCTCAAGAAAAGAATAATTGTGGAGTATTAACAACACCAACATATGTTACCATGTAAGAACGAACAAATAATACACTATTTTACGTTTTTAGTATAAACATATATGTATGTACAAGTTTTTGAAATGGAAATTATATATTTTCTTTTAAATAAAATGTTAAATTCTATTTTCTGTTTCTACACAAAAATATACTGAAACGAGAAAAGAAATCACTAAACGAGTAAATAAACTGTTAAAGTTATATTCGATGTATAAATATAAATAGTACAAGGTAAATGAGACGTAATTTTATTTGGATCGTATGAAAATTAACGTTGTAGAAACATGAATAAAATGATTTTTATTGAATATCGGTAGCAATTGAAAGCACTTTTATAATTTTCTTTCCCTTTTTGTTATTTAAAAAAAAAAACATGTGAATAACCAAGAACGCACAGATACGATGAATTTATAGCAAATTACGTGGTAATTCTGATTCGTTAGTCCACAAAGTAAAAAAGCATAAACAAATATGGACACTTATGCAAATAAACAATGTTACGTTTTTATCTTAATATAGAAATTGTTGCTATACACTGAAAAATCTAATCTTGTATTAAACTATCATCTGTTGTATTGGAAAGCCTGACACTGGAAGTATGATAACAATTACTTACAAAAATATATGTAATTTCAATAGGCACAATTTACGTAATACAGTTTCTTAAATTATACATCGCTGTGCGTACCATACAAAATTGAATATATCGACGAAAGGAATTTTATACAAATCAAATGGATAATTAATTATTTGATCGTGTGTAAATTTTTATATAATAATTGTAGTAATGTTACATAATTTCTTTTACATCCGACAATCTATTTTAATACACAGATCCACACTTGTCATGTTTGATCAGTGTAATTACAATGTGAATGTAACATAAAAATACAGTTATTTGAAAAAATTAATCTCTCAAAAGTGTAAATAAATATACCAGTTTTAAATGAATTTCTTGATATAATCTTAATTTTTAAATATAATTTGAATGATTTAAACTTTTTACTCAGTCGAATTTCGTACTGAATAATACACCAATAAGTAATTTTATTTAATACTAGGTTTTCTCGCGATTTTATAGCTTGTGCAGATTTTGTGCTATTAAGTTTACTAAACCATGTATTAATGTACTTTGCATTTTATATATTTCTCTATAGATTTTTCAAACAATAAGCAACTTTCATGTTTTTCTAGAAAAAGTAATTGACTTTTTATTATAAAATAGACGTCTAAATTAAAAAAAAAAAAATTGATTGATTTAAGAATGTAATTTGCACAAATTTTTGCCGTAATTATTCTGGCAAATGTTTACTTATTGAATATATGATATTATTTCAAAAACATATAAATTGATTTTACAGTTATTCAACGACGTTAACTTTGGTTATCATTTGCTAATCCTATTTTTTTTCTTTTATTAATTAAAATTTTCAGTATATAACATAAACTCGTACATTCTGAAAACGTTATTTTACGCCATTCTTAATATATATCGTAATTTTATAAATTTCAATTACTCTCACGACCTATACATATATAATCTGCTACATCTGCCTAGGATAATTCGAAATATTTGAAATCTGAAAAATGTTTCTAAACCACACCATGATATGGACGATTCAAAAATATATGTACCTAAATATTCTATTAGTATTTAATACGTACGAACAAATAAATGATACGAATGAATAATATTTCAGTCAAATATATTCCCTATGTATAATATAACTAATAAAAACGTGACTATAAACTTCCACAAAGTAAGCATCCGTTCGACCATGCTGTATTACGTTTACTGGGATTATTTTATAATTAAATAATTGGATTAAACACTGTATCACAATATTTGTGTAAAATTGTCAAAGATTTCAAAATATATATTCATTAAAATATTATAACTAACAAAGTTATGCGTAACAGTATCTCGCCTGCGAATCTAAGAACATTTTCGACCAATTTTAAATTTGCCGCGCTTTTAGAGCAAGTAATACAACTCGTTTAAGTACCCAAAAAATAACTGTTAACGAATCAATTGTTAAATCATATGGTCGAAAGTATGCAGGAATTAATTGAAAATATTCTCCATACTATATATAAATCTTTCATCTTCGATTTTCTTTTTTTTTTCGTTACTTTCTGTTACTTGCATTGTATATCACTTGTGGACCCTGTTCCGATCGGTCATATTTGACGATCGACGAATAGCCATGTAATTAATTATATATGGCGATCTCAGAGGAACAGTCGATCCCCAAATTTACGAATTACGATCGATAAATAGTAGGAATGTTAAAACGGTTCGCTCAATAAAAGCGCTATCTTAAGGCGCACTAAAGAATATAGAAATATCTTGTGAAAGTATTCTTTCATTGGACATATTCGAACAGATTCATTTTTCTCGCATCCAATCCTATTTTTTATAAATACATCTTGTTTAAAGAAATCCCATTTCTAAGGCGTTGTACAATGACTGTATGTCCGAATGACTATTTATTCTCCAAAATGGGAAGTTATGGGCACGTGCTGCCGTTTCTTCGTCCGAATCGTCGCCTATCACTACGTAAGTGCATCTTCGACCGAATCGTGCTATTACTCTTCCAAAACAACTTTCTTTTCCTAAAAATTTATATATATGAAATATATTGGGTAATTTTTTAAAGAATTATACGACTTACCGATTTTCGAGGCAGAATAAATATTTTCAATTGGAAATATTCCACCAATTCCGAAAAGCAGCACTTTCGAAAGAGCCGGTACCAACTGCGTAGTCGTAACAAGAATATTAATGCAGTGACTTCTTTTATTGATAAGACTCAAACACTTCACCGCAGAGGTTAGCCAATTGTCGGTCAATACTTCGATCTCTGATCGTAATTGCAGCCACTGTTCTTGTTTCGCCGCACCTAATAAGCCGCCAACGTTGTTCCGGTAATTACTGTAAATCTCTTTTATTTTTCGATAACGGAATGCCAGTTTTCTCATCCAATCCACACCACCCCTAACACCGGAAGCCAAGCATATACCGTTGTTTGTAGACGCACATTGGAAACCATCGTTCGCAAAGTTGTAAGAAGACAGGTCCTGCCCGTTATCATCTGATGATACGTCGTCGATGTGTACTTGGTCACAGTCCTACAAAATAAGATCATTCAATTCTTATTAATACAAAGCATAATTTAAAACTTTTATAAAAATCACCTGGTGAGATTAAAATTAATTTGGGTCTAAATAAATAATTAGAGCACCTTTTAAATATTAACTAAATATTAAAATAAAAGAAACACATAGTAGGAATATTAATACTGCAAATTGTTGGTTTTCTGCAGATTCAATACAGATCTCTTTTATAATATAAAAGAATAATAATACGTAGTGGGTCCTCCCTGTCTACGGTATTACGTTCGAAGATTTATCGCGGATAATAATGATAATAAATATGGTAAAGTTCAATTTATAAATTATTCACAGTAAGATATTCTTAACAATGAATTTTGTTTTACGCTTCTATGTGTGTCGATCAAGTTTGTGAAACTTTTGGAATTTCGAAGCGCGGATAACTGAAACCATGGATACCGAAGTTGCATGTACGGTGGGTCGATTATAATGCAAATTGTAATCAAAACACATTCGAAGATTTGAGCAATTAAAATATTTAGAAATAAATAGAAGAAAATTTGATTGAATATAGTTAATTTATTAATTTGACAAAAAAAAGTCAACAGGACGCGGAGTTCCCAAGCGGTCACCCATCATCCAAGTACTATCCGCGCCCACCTTAGCTTGACTTCGGTGATCAGACGAGAACCGGTAGGTCTTAAGCAGTATGGCCGTTGGCTAATTGTAAGATATAGGTATGATCTTTCATTGTAAAAACTTATTAAAAACTTAACACTTTCGCTGTCAATCTCGCGACAGCGCGTGATAGTGGCATACGGCATGTCCCTAATATTTTCTGGGTGGCAGCGAATATGTTAAGGAATACATAATAGGTAAATATGCATAAAAGGTCACACATTTTCTATCTAAACTCCACCCAGATATGTTGCAGCGGGTAGTGCCCTGAGCAACTCCCTGCAAGAATCAAGTGACGGTCGACATTGGTTTAGGACAGGCCTGGCCAATCCAAATGGTTTCACGGGCCATTTTGGTGATGCGCAACGTTACGGTCGGCCGCATTTTAGGTAAACATGCTTTTAAAAAATGTAGTTCAAATACAAAATGAATAAAACTTTATTGTTATACTATGATTCAATATAATTAATTCTCGAGTCTTAATTAATGGGATATTTGTTTATCCTTTCTTTCACTTAATTTTTGTAAATCTATATTTACGTTCGACGTTGCACATCTTAGGTGGTTTTCTAAATTGGCATCAGTTAACGAAATACGTAATGAACTCTTTGTAAATTTCATCTTCGAAAAAAATGTTTCACAAACATATGTGGATTCAAAAGCACTTACAACTCGCTGTGTAAAATATCTTAAGTTGGAATATCTCTCGGATGTAATATAAGTATTGTAAAAATTAATTTTTGATGTGGACGCAAAAATTTATTTCATTTCATTGTTGCACTGTAACTCAATTAATTCCATTTGCAGATTTTCAGGAACATTGTTCAAGTCAACATGAAATGGGCATGAAAATATTTCAAACATTTTATTATATTTTGCTAATTTTGAGAAACGACTATCAAATGCAGTTATAAGTTTCTTTATTTCATTAGCATATTTCGAGAAATTCTTAGGTTGTTATTTTTGGGAAGTTATTTAACAGAGGAAAGTTGGCACTCAAATAACAACAATTTCTTATTAAAGCTTTGAAACAAAAGTTCCAACAGAAATATAAAATCGCCCGGCGGACCGCACAATTTAACGTGGCGGGCCGCGTGTTGGCCAGGCCTGAGTTTAGATGATATAACAAATAAAAAGTTTGACAACAAAGTTTGCATACGTCTCTTTATAACTTTGAGTGGACGGGGGGGAGATTGCATCCTCTCACACGTGTGTGTTATTACTATCTTCAACGAAACTCAGAAATCCGTGTAGTTGCATGTTGAAAGCTTTTAACGAACTGCGAGGAATCGATGAACCCGATTGTTGACAAAATATCCATGTAGCTATGTTTTAAATAATATAAATAAAAACTTTGTTACTTAGAGATCATAAACAGACTACTATGACGTACATAAACACGACTGTTCCTAATATCAATTAATAATACCTAAGCAAAAGCATGGAGAAACTTCAGAAAGGCCCCCAAACTTCGAATTTATAGTAATTGAGGGACGAAAAATCGAATGAGACTAATTACAGAGCTGGATCTCTAACTAGACTTAACTAGACTTAACTATCTAGCCCGTAAACTAGACTTAACTAGAGATAATTATCACAAATGATGTCATAAATTGATTCTCGAAGGCTACTCTATCTAACCTAACCTAACCTAACCTTTTATTTTTTTTTATTTGCCGGAGGGGAAATACAGTTACGTACGCGCGGAGCAGTCCCCTTCGCACTATTCGGCTAAGGGACGCCCAGGCAGTGTGGGACTCATACCACCCACGAGGGGTGGCATCCTATCCACTAAAACCCCTCTCCCGTATGGGGGTGTACATCCCCACCCTAGGATAGCCAAACTTCGGATTTATAATAATGGAGGGACGAGAAAAACTAAAATCAAAATTAAAGAATAAAAAGCTTTAAAATTTGAATTACAGTTTAGCGTTTAAGAGTTGGTGGAAGAGTGACGAGCGAGCATTCTGGTTCTGCTGAGGGAGCACGTGAGGAAGCGAAGGACTTTCCCAGGGAGCAAGAGAGCCATTGCGCAATTTCACCCCTCCTGCGCATGCGCAGTCTGATTTTCAAGCCGGATGTGAATATATATCTCGAGAACGTTTTATTTGCCGGACTTGATTACTATAAATTACTCATTTACTATAAATCCGAAGTTTGGCTGCCCTATGGTGAGGAGGCCTTTCGGAAGTACACCCAAAAGCATTAAAATTGTCAAACATTGATTTGTTATATCTCCTAAACCAGGCATGTCAAACTCGTTAACCACCGAGAGCCATATTAAGTATTATATATTAAATTGCGGACCGCAAAACAAAAACAAAAAAACAAATAGAAATAAAGATGAAGCATAGCTTTTATTATAAACAAATCAATACATACAAAATAATAATACATAGAATATAAACATATTAAAAGATGTTGTCAAAAGTTAAATAAACGTATTGGTCATCAATATTGGCGGGCCGCGTGTTTGACATGCCTGTTCTAAACCAATGTCGACTATTACCTAATTTTTACGAGAAATCACTCAGAACACTCTTCCAAGTGGCGCTCAAATCGGAGATGTGTGACTTTTTATACATATTTACCAAAATGTGGATAATACACATTAAACGATACGTGGGGTTTGGATTGTGACTTAGATTCAACTGACTTACTTTTATAATCTACGAAAGCAGGAAGTTAGAAATAGGAGTAGTTGTACACTGAGTTGCATTGAATTTGTCGCAGTGAAGTTGGCTACAAATTCACTAACACATTCACGTTGCGTCAGTGAGTGAATGTGTGGCCAACTTCACTGCGACAAGTTCAATGCAACTCATTGTACTGCACACTACACCCTCTTTTTATTAGACTATATAGTATCGAGCATGGTAGGTTTCTTTAGAGAAAATAGCGAGTAGGAGAAATTTTCAAAATCCTAGTATAAAAAATATTAAAATTAATATAATTTTTAATTCCAAAAATGATAAAATCTACTACCTATACATATAACTAAAAAATATTAATAATAAAATAAAGATTATATGAAATTTTGCCGAAAAAACATTTATATACGAGTGGTGGTACTTTTCTCCATTTTCCTCAAAGAAGATCGGCGTTATAAATACCAAGAGACATCGTGTAAGTCCGTAGATACGGATGGACGACTGTACTTTTTGTATTTAAAAATATTATTATATCATTATTTACATCTTAGTACTAATATTATCCTTTTACAATATTGTATTATAATATTCCATAGATGTGTCTCCAATTGAAAAAAAAAAAAAAAATGGTTTTGAAACCGGAAGTTAATAAAATTTGCATGGGTTTGCTAGTTACTGAAATAAACGAATAAAAATAAAATGTTAAATGAAATTTTTAATATTTTAAATATAACATGTTTCCAAAACACGTTATACTTTTGAAATAATTTTAATCAACTTGTAAGTATTACACATTATTAATCATTTTTGAATTTTCTTATTAAAGATTGTATTTTTTTGCTGAACTCCAATTTAAAGAATTATGTATTTACCTCGATATCATTGAAAAAGAAATGAGTATCAGCCAAATTAAATATCATCTCCTCTATTCTGTAGGCAACTTGGGCCAGAAGGTTAGGATCCTTACGGTGCTTCGTTGCAAATTGTCCGGTGAGCAACGAGTGAAACACAACTATGGTTTCGTCCAGGTCCCAAATGAATATCCGGTCAGGACCGGCTTCTGTCGTGTCTGCGGAACCTATACTGTTTCCACTTCCGCTTTGACGCCTTCCGCGTCTACAAGGTTTCGCCGTCGCCCCTGAAACACGTTCATTCATCGTCATTTTTTTGATGCATCTTTTGGTTAATATCTTATAAAATTGCATTATTCCATTTTTCTTAAATTTTAATTTCAATAAGTGTCATTATGGTAAATGATTTGAAAAGCTTTGTTTTTTGAAAAGTTTCTAAAATTAAACAAAAATGACTGTTAAGTAAATAAGAGAATTTTAAATATCAATCTTTTAAAATTGAATATTTATAGATATATGCTTATTATAATAGTTTTGAAATTTTAAACTTATTTATAAATATAAAATTACATAAAATTGGGGCTTTTTTCGTGGTCTGCGAAGGGTTAATTTATTTATTATTTTTAGTGAGATAAAACTGTCGTACACACACCCATCAGAGCACGAATATTGATAGAAAAAGTAATGAATAAATAGTAATAGAAATATAAAATCACACGTACGAATCGTGTTACCTTCGATGTTTGCGGTTTCTCTTGCGGTTAGATCGCTGGCATCGTGAGTCGTTGCGTCCAACGTGAGTGCAGACTTTGTCGAATCTTCTTACAAAGAAGGAAGATCGTTACTGACAAATTATAATTGCTAACAAATCAAAATTATAAGAATCAGTAAAATACTGCAATTTAAATGAGCAAATTTAAACTATTTAAATTTAAACCCCACAAAATTCTGAATATTTTATGATGGCCCTGGCTCCTCCAAAGTGAGGACTACTCCCATCCATCATAAAATCTAATTTTAATAGAAATAAATATTTCTATGAAACATAGGGTAATGTATAATTTTAGTTACATAAAATTAGCAATAAGACACTTGACACTTTTGATAAAACTAGAGGACCTAATCTATACTAGATAAAAATCCCAATTACGTCAATGAATGCGATTCAGAATCAAGTATATCAAGCGTGAATAATCTCTATATAGGAAGAAATTAATAAGAAGGTTACCAGCAAAATTTAGATTCCCAATGTTAAAGGAGGCCGGTGTCGCGTGGTACCCATGCATTGGGTAATATCCGGAATACTGTAATGGTACCCTGTCGTTTCCGTATAAACTGCTACTGTAGGCGCTATAATCTAGCTTCTGAAAAGAAATATTCAATTGGTAAAAGATAAAGTAAAATCTATTTGTAGAATCAAATTTCTGCATCTACAAGGAATAAGTTCCAAACCCTATCATAGTGAATACTATAGGGTGTCTCATATAATTGTCGCCATAAAATTTAAAGTACAATCGATAATAAAGAAAATTAAATATAAAGTTAGAAATATAAGAGCATTGGATTATACATATACTAACAATAATGAATAAAAACATATACGCTGAACGTTTTCAGAACTTACCAATAGATTGTACAATATTGATACATAATTTTGGATGCAAGTAAGTATGCAGGTATAAACTGTATTTACACATGAATGCAGAACTGGATTAAAAGAGGGCCCTTGATTGACAAAAGTTAAAAAATTGAAATTTATCCCAACTTAACTTTAAATAATATTTAACTGTAAAAACAGGGCATCAATAAAAAAAATTGCATTCAATATTTTTTTACGCATATAGTAAATGGAAAGTTTATAATAGAACTTCCTAGAAAATGGAGCGCGGGGCTGTAGCCCTCCTTCAATCTACCCTTAATTCGGCACTGCACGAGTGTTTTTTCTTTTTTTTCAAAATTTACAACACTATATAGATAAGAATACTGTAAATGATAAAATGAGTACCTGAGAAGAGGACGATATATTTTGGGTTACGTTGGGAAAATTCGGTGTGCCGCTGTTGTAAGTAGCGTAGGACGAGTATTGAGTCATTGAACTTGGTGACGTATACGAGGTCAGGTAAGAACTTTGCAAACTCGAAGTGTTCTTCCCAGCTGTAGCTGATCCATACGGGGGTGAGTTGTATATACTATAAACAGAAATTTACTATTTAATTCTCTTATCTAATCGAAGATACAGAACACTATCCAAAACTCTAACTAAATAATAAATTATTTAATTGAAACTGGTTTGGTATACAGTCAGGGATGAAAATAAATGGGCACAGTTTAAAACAGAATATCTCAGTTAAAATTCGACCAAATGACTTGGCGTTTTCCGAAAAGCTATAAAATTAATTTACTAATACATGTGCTTCTGTTGTTTTAAAAAATTATAATTTGTAGAAATCGCGAAAAAAATATAGTGAAAGGCAATTTTTTAATTTTGTTTCGCGAGCCTGTACTGAAAATTTCATCGAGATCTGTCAACGCATTTAGAAGTCATAATTAAAATTTCCGAAAATCGCGACCTTTCACCTAAAATCGTAACTAGTCATGTTCTTAGATGAAAGTTGCGATTTTCGAAAGTTTTTATTACTTGTAACTCTTAAGTGCGTTGACCGATCTCAGTGAAATTTTCAATATATATATAAATTATTTAAATCTACGAAAGGCTCATAAAAAGTTAAAAAATTGTCCTTCACTATATTTTTTTCACGATTTCAACAAATTGTAATTTTTTAAAACGACAAAAACACATATATTAGTAAATTAATTTTTATAGCTTTTCGAAAAACCTCAAGTCATTTGGTCCAATTTTAACTCAAGTATTCTGTTTTAAACAGTATCCACTTATTTTCGTTCCCGAGTGTGTGGTGAACAATCACAGACTGGTGACTATAAGCTCTTGATTATAATAATTTTTAGAAGGAATTATTTTTTGCAGTTGTATGGAGGATTAAAAAATATTATTAAACATCTATTTTTTTTTTATCGCCAGAAATTCATTTCAAGGGATGAAAATTACTCCTTAAAGTAATAAAAATACGTATTTAAAATATGCTGGTTTTGAAGCTGTACAGGTGAACAGAAGACTACAAAATATTAAATATATATATATATATATTTTTTAAATAGATTGACTTACTTTAGAGAAGGGGGTACGAATATGGGATAGCCATTTTATTTTTGGATGTACTAGAGAGTCTCAGAATAATCATAAATAGACAAATCAAGCATAGAAATTTGGGAAATTTCATGTGGAATGTGTTGTATCAACATAAATATTATAGACCTCACAAAACATCTTTTTTTTTTTTTTCACTGTTTCAAATAGATGGCAAATTCGAGCTAATAAAAATTCGGGTAGTAATATGAGACAGTGTTACTTTTGAGAAAAATAAGCTTGTAAAACTAAGGCAGAGTACTAATAATGATAACAGAACGTCAAATATAATAAGACAACTATAATTAAGCGAAGGCATTCAAGCGTATGATAGGCATTCAATTTACAATTCGCCTTTATAATCTTCAGAAAATCTTTTATCGCAAAATTTGCACATTTTATATGTTCATTAGTTCATTTTATTATTTAGTAATAAATTTAAGAATGTGGTAGTAATATGAGACTCTTTCATATTGCTATCAATCAGGTATCTTATTTTTCTATCAATTATTGTTATTTATCATAATGAAAACATAAATACTTCAAACACCCTATGATATACTAATACTATGATTATTATAGTATAACTTACCCTAGAATTTAATATCTAACTAGAATTTTATACTTTTAATATTCAATTATTGGTAAAATTTCAATGTACTGTGTACGGATTAAAACCTTGCTATTTCATATTTCTACCCTATCTCATATTCGTACCGTCTCTTCCTATACACACTTATTTAGAATATACCGTATATAATATTTTTCAGTCCTCTATTCTCCTACAAAGTATCAATATTTTAACAATCTGCCTGGCTTATTAAGGCATTGCGCGAAATAGGGGTAGTTTTACCCCCTCCTCTACTGAATTTCTGCGAATAAAATAAATAAGTGTATAATATTTTTTAATTTTGTTTCGATCTGCAAGCTTTCAAAAAAATCGATGTTGGTTACCAAACTTGTCTGGCTTTGTTAGTAGCAAAAGCGTTAATTATTGAAATTGTGCAATTTATACACATTAATAACGTATAATCAAGCACAATAATATGATAATTTCAGCATCTGTAGCTAATTAAAGCAAAAATGATTGAAACACAAGATTGAATATTGGAAATACATGCCTGTTATAGTATTGATTGGCTCCGTACAATGAACTGTAGTCGGCCTTTTCCATAGAATCGGGATATTCTTGCTCCTTTTCCTCGGCATTTTCATCGATGTATAATTCTCCACCGGGCACGCTGTCGTTCTCGGGGCAATCTTGCACCTCGTTCTTAACTTCCGTAGCTGCCAGTATGATCACAATGGTTTACGTTCAGATATTTTTAATATTTAACATTCTTAACTATAAATTTATTATTATGCGATACGCTGCCACCTCAATATGGGCATACAATATTTTGTTTATTTATACTTGTATTTACAAAATATGTATACATATGGATATAAATGAGATGTTCGAAATCAGTAGCGCAACTAGGGCAAGTCACAAAGGTAAGTTCACCATTCTATTAACCCTTCGATGGTGGATCATGGAGAGAACTACAATTTATATTTAATTTTGAATTTCATATTATTTTCATTATCTAAATTTTACAATGTTCTTTTAAAAATTCTTCTTCTAATATATGAAACTCTTCTGTTTAAAAATTGTACATTTAACTTTATTTTAATATTCTTTTATGTATTTTGTAAGTTTCAAATGTTCAAATGTTAAACAATTGAAAACGTTTTTATATTTACGCAAATTTTAGAAAATGTTAATGAAGAATATTATCCCTTAGCTGGCACTGTGGAGTATGAGATGACTCCTAGCTAATTCAACTTCAATTTTAGCCACTTTTAGCTAAAATTCGTCCCTTTAACTCTCCAAATAAATACCTTTTTTGAAACCACTTTTATATTATTCTTTTCCTAAAAATGTTCAACCTCAAATGTGTCCAACTAAAATTTTAGCTTTTTATATGAAAATTTGAAAAAGTTATGAATTTTTTTGTGAAAACTTATTTTTTCTACATTTTTCAATTTTTTTTTTATATTTAATATTTAAGTTTACTAAAATTAGCTATGAAATATGTTGAAACAACTTTCAAAGATTATCTAAGAATTTTTTCAAGTTAAAATAATGAATAGCTTCTTCGTAGGAAATATTTTAGTGGTTGTGGTCTTAATCGTCCCAGTGTGCCATCAATGTTGTTCTGGTGAAGTGTGCCAGGTAAGGATTAAATTTAATATTATTACATTATTAATAAACTATGAAACAAAATCTTTATTTACCACTCTATCGGACAATTGTATTTGCGTCAATGCTCGAAATTTCTGTTTCTTAATTTTATCAAATCAACGTAAGAATTTTTTATATCTTCTTAATGTCTTCTTGACTGTTTATAGTAGTTTTAATTCCTGAGAATATTTACCAACACATACTCAAAATGCAATAAATCTATATGTTCCTTCATTTTCGGTACATTATGCTATATTATAAATTAGGCGTTTAAGGTAAACTTTAAATAAATTAGTTGTTTTAGGAATTCAAAAATACCTATTTCACTAAATAGCCTTTCCTTTTTGTATTTTTAATTAAAAAATTATCATTATTATTTATAAAAGATAACTTACCATTTATTTCCGTTATTATAGAAATAAAATTTACGTAAAACAAATTGGAACTACCGTCAACTTAATAAATGAAATATCAACATTTATAATTTCATGAGACAATAATAAAATTAATTTATTAAAAAAATGTTGGGTAAGTTAAATTTCCAGTTAACAATCATAAAGAAGAAGTGAGTTATTTTCGAAGAAGTGAATAGTTAGAATTCCTCCACCATTAAAGTTTCTTTAGGAAGAAAAATGGATGAATCGGAAGATATTCGATTTCATTCATAACTGCGACGCTTAATTAATTTCCGGAACAATTAGCCTGGTCTAATTATAAGCCATGATCGTGTTTAGTATTTTGCAGAAGAGAAATCACCGACGGTTTTTCGTTTAATTCAATCAAGGGTGCTGGAGAAGAAATCTGTAAAATACGGTACAGTCGAACCTTTCAAAGCATCGAATTCAAACTGCTTTATCAGAAATACGGTTTCGGTCATCATTAACGGAGCAATGATATAAATATCATTGTTTTATATAATTTTTGGTAAAAGATTTTGTCGTTGATCGTTAACTTTAATTGAAATTATAATGGGTTGGGTTAAGTTAGATTACGAAAAAGAAAAAAGCGCGTCCTACTGCGAGGAGGTCATCGCCCTCAAGGAGAGGGCCTAGGGGGATCGCGAAAGGAGCGATCCCGCTCGGAAGGGGCGAAGTCGTCGCCGAAAAAGGTGGGATCCGCCGCTGTAAGGGCGAAAAGAATTTGGAATACATTGAGACAAATCAAGTAAACAATCTACGAGGAAAAGGTGGAAACGTACAAGCTGAAGCGTTTCAAATGAGGGAGCGCTATCACGCTCCAGGAAAATATTCTTCGCGATTGCTCGGGACCAGTGCGGGATCGGTGCGGGATCGGTGCGGGATCGGAGAGGGATCGGAGAGGGATCGGAGAGGGATCGGAGTGGAATTGGAACGGAATTGGAGCGGGATCGGAGCGGGATCGGAGTTGGAGTGTATGAATACTTTCAAAGATTAACATTGTACATACTATATTATTGTGTGGATCCGGCGTAAATGTTAGATTTCGAAATAGGCTTTATTGCTTTATTAAAACATGAAACGTTTGGGTACTAAAAACATTAATGAACAATTTAAATGATAATTTTCAACAAACTTTAACCTTAAAATTGATATAATATAAACGTTACTTTGTGATAGTTTTATGTTATCAAAAATCTTGCTTGAATACATATATCTTCTGGAACTGACCATTATTTACTGTAATTGGCAATCAACTATCTATTTTATATTCAGAGTGTTAATGAATAATTTATATAGCCAATTTCTTCAAACTTTAAGTTGTAAATTAATATAGAATAAGCGTTATTTTATGATATTTTTATGTCACCAAATCATGTCAAAATTTGTATGTTTCAAAATTTACCACCTGATATGCAATACTTTAATATATCAAAATTATAGCTGTAACCTTATCAAAGTTTGAAAACCCAAATTTGTTTTTCAAAACACTTATTATTTAAAAAATTATTAGTCCTATTGGTTAGCTCTATTATAATTTATAGTTTGTATGTACAAATTGCTAAGGCTTAATATTTTAAATAGTAGGTTATATATTATATGGGTAAGATATTGTTGTATACCGAATCATTCCTCATCATATTATAAGTCAACCATCAATAACAAATACCCCAAGTCCTTCCTTCTATTCCTAACGATTCATCCGAACTAGTCCTCTCCAAACCTTCATCTCATGACCTCATCCCTTACCAACCACTGGACTCACAATAACTCCCATCTTTCTATTTTTCCGATTGTATAAAATACCCAACACTTTTCCTTCCGGGTCAGATTTTTCCGAACCATCTTAGGAACTAGAGTCTACATACGTCACGACGAATATTGTATCTAAAACTTCGTTTGTATTTCATATTGTGATTGAAATAAATAAATATCGCGAGTGGAATACAACAATATACAAGTAAGTTATACATATAGTAAGTTATATGAGGCACTTAAAACTAAAGAAATGAAAGTGACATTTTTACTTATATTCTTTTAACATTTACATTATATTTAACGATTTAACTAACCATTTCTGTTTTTAATTCAAAACGTTTAAAAGATGACACTTTGCACCCCATTGTATCCCTTTGATTCTAAGTGCCTTATATACGTATATAGTACTAAAACAAGATTATAAGTTAATTAATAGGAGCCTTATTTACCATTGTTTGTGGTACGAGGGTGCTGTACCGAGGCCTCTGTGGATGAAGACACGTTGCCAGCATTGTCTAGAACACCTGCTGGTTTTGTCGGGTCATTGTCTTCGGTTAACATATCACTCTGCCTGAAACAAAAATCGGAATAATGATTTATTGATCGATTATTAAAGGGTTCATCATTTCCCTAAACATAGTCGTTATTGAATCTTTGCGTAAAGGACTTTTGATCGAAGTTTTTTTCTTATTTGAAGTTCATTCTTTTTCTTTATTGCATAAATAAAAATTATCCAGTACGTTGCTATCTTGTTTATTGTCATAGGTGCTAATCAAAGATAGTAGTATATTAATCAAATAAACTGAAAAAAATATAAAATAATACATATACAGTGTGTCCCACGACTGCCTCGACAGCCGAAGAAGGATGATTGCTAGGGTGATTCTAAATAACTTTTTCCTTTGCCAAAATGTTGGTTAAGGCTTCGTTTTCGAGATATTAACAAAAAACACTAACCAATCCGAGCGCGTATAGCGCGCGGGCTCAGGGACGGCAGTGTCGACTACGAAAATCGGGCCTGACGTAGGTCGAGAACGAACTGGTTGAACATTTTTAGTCGGTATTTAAAATGAATACGAAACCTAATCTCTTGTCGCCAAACAACAAATAAAAATAATTGAAGTTGAATAATTAATAAACGTTTGAATCAGGGATTGAAAAGGTTCTGAAAATAACTGTTTCAAACTGTTATATATATATAAGAACCAGTTATGAGAACCGGAATAATGTTATAACTGTTATTAGAATAAAGGTTCTAACCTAATATGTATCGGTTTCGATTACGGTTCTGGTATTAGTTTTATTTCGGTTCTATATTAGTTCTATTTCGGTTCTATATCGGTTCTTTTTGGTTCCATACCGGTTGCAGTTCTAATATCATATTTTAAATGAAGGATATTTTCTATTTCGTTTTCATATATCACCAGTTTGAGGTGGTCCCTTAAAAAAAAGTCACATGTTGAAAGGTCTGGTGACCTGAGAGGTCAAGAGGTTCGTCTAGTACGGCCGATCCTAAGCAGGGTTAATCCATTTATGATTATAATAAAAATTTGAATTATAATAAAAATTAATCATAATTACTATAATTATATGTATATTAATTTTTAAAATGACCTTATCCCTAATTCTTCAGCTAACCATTATACAGTAAAATCGAAATAGAATTGGTATTAGAATCAATACTATTATAACAGTACCTGTAGCTTTTATAGAACTAAAATAGAACCGATACCTAACCGATTTCAGAAACAATATTAGAACCGTAATCGGTATAGAATAGAAAAGAACCGATATATGTAGAACCGATATCAGAACCAGCACTAGAACTATAACCGGAATAACTGTTACAGATCATAACGGTCCTTCGAAACTGTTTTAAGAACCGGAATCGATATCATAACAGCTTTCAAACACTGGTTTGAATTGGAGGCTACGTTAATGATAAAAAATTTGAAAACAATTTAAATGAAACTTACCGATTAATCAGCTACGCTGAAAGCAGATAATTGCCACTGGGTCACTGTGTCGGTCCCAACCATTCGACGAGGAAACACGTTTGGTAAAACAGTTGATTTCATGGTCGGGCCATTGAACTCGCGTCATTTATTACACTTAGTTAGGTATGAATAATAGGCAAGGTGTTCTCTCGTCGAATGGTTGGGACTGACACAGTGGCAATTATCTGCTTTCAGCGTAGCAGGTTAATTTAGGAACGAATGGGTAAGTTTCATTTAAATGGTTTTCAAACTTTTCATCATTAACGTAGCCTCCAATTCAAACGTTTATTAATTATTCCATTTCAATCATTTTTATTTGTTGTTTAGAATACTTCGAATTTTCTTTCTTACATTATGACAGTCGACAAGAGATTACGTTCTCTATTCATTTTAAACAACGACTAGAAATGTTCAAGCAGTTCACTTTGTTTATTGTGCTATGTCAACGGGGTGCCGCACCGTTCGTTTGCGACCTGTTGTCGAACACCCTGTATAACATATTATCCAACAGAAGATCAGAAATATTCATTGGGAAAGGGTTAAAGCTCGAATAAGAGATAAAAATACCATAAAATAAAATATCAAATTGTTCTTAATTTACATTACCCACAATTTATAAGTAATTTATAAGTAATTAAAATTTCCGAAAATCGCGACTTTTCAAGGGAAATTCGGTAACTCGAAAATTCGGGACCTCAAGAGAAGTATAGCGCAATTTTTGTTTTTGGTCCAATTTCAATTCTTCAGGGTAAAATCACCCCCTCGAGGTAGATAGGTGTTTCCATATTTCCCTGTATATCTTTAAAACTATTGTAGATATAAAAAAATGGTTATAATATACATTGAATAGTTTTTAATACTCTATAAAACGAGGCAATTAAATTGATAAAAATTCTTTGTTTAAATAAAAAAATTCCCCCCCCCCCCCACCGCTGTTATTTTGAAAAATTTTGAATTCTCTGTTACGTCGAAAAATACGTAGAACCTCATTATAAATGCAGATATGTATGGTAAATTTGTCGAACAAAGAGGTATTTAAATAATTTTAACCGATACGTGCACTTTGCACGCTCATCGTTGCACTGTAAACGATGCGTTATCACTTACCACGTATGTGTGCGAGCACACATGTATAATATGTATAATATGTGTTTATTATAACCATTTTGTAATATCTACGATAGTTTTAAAGATATACAGGGAAATATGGAAACACCTATCTACCTTCAGGAGATGTTTTCACACTGAAGAACTGAAATTGGGCCAAAAACAAAAATTGTACTATACTTCTCTTGAGGTCCCCTATAAACCTGCAAAGTTTAAAAAAAATCGGAATTTTCGAGTTACCGAACTTCCTTGTAAGTACCATGCCGTTCCTCGTGGTCCTCCTACCAGAAGATGCAAGATCTTTCCCACTCTGTGGTCAGATCCTTCGAGATCACCCTTATCTCTCTACATGTGCCATGCAGCACCATGACCTCAGGTCATCGGCCGCACGCGCGTACCTTTGAAGATCGGCATTCGAACTCTCTATCGCCGATCCATAAACAAAACATCCGCGACTCTCGGAATTCGTCGCACCTCAAGTATCAACTACTGCCGCGCCGGACCCAAGTCCGATGACAAACATAGGGTTCCGACATCGACACCTTCAATATCCTTGAAAAGTTGGTCAAAGCCCCAAGTGCATTTACCCTTTCACGTATCAATCCTTGCACGGGTGCTGATGCTAAGAAACAAAATGAATATTATGTAATTCAAATTTTCGTGCGTAAACGTTTATACGCAAGTGGTGTGGGCCACAGGTTTATGTGTATGTGCTGCTCACTCCATTGTCATTCTCCTTAAAGAAGCCTACGGCTAAGGGTTGAAACCCCGGGTGTCACCATTTTTTCCAGGGGAAGCGTGATTTGATCGCGAGTGTACTTCTTTTGACATCGATTGCAGCGTTTTTTTTATTCTCTACAAAAATGTATTAAGGTATAGTGCACCGATGACAAGATGTCCCATGAGACAAATGTAAATGCAGCCTTCTCATGGGACATCTTGTCATCGGTGCACAGTACATGTGTTCAGAATTGATTAGTGATTAGTGAACGGGGGGCTTAAGATCTTTTGAGGTAATCAATTTTTTACCCAAGTATCTTAATATCTTTTTGTATAGAACAACAAGATGCATCGATAATGTTTAAAACAATATATGTATGTACATTCCATTAATGAAATTAATCCTGAAATTTTTGAAACACCTTGACTTTTGGAGCCAACATATGCATCACGTGTTCTTCCATTCGACGCTATTTAATTTTTTCTAATGTAGGCGTTTAATGGATGGGGTAAGGGTTTCGTCTCCCTGGACACCTTTAGTTCGGGCCGGGGACTGCTAGGTGGCGGCAAGAGATCGGTGACAGTGTTCTTGCAAGCGGTGTTAGTGAATTGCGGTATCATAGGTGTCTGAGGCAGGGATCGTCTGTTGTCAGCCCCACTGACGAGTATGACAGACGATTCCGAGACGAAACGCCCTTTTTCTCTACTACACTAATGACATTTTTATTTATTTTATACTTTTTTAAAGCCATAACTTAACATCTTCATGGGACATCCTGTAGGATAACCAACACTGGATTAAGATTTCTGAGGCCTGAGGCTGTCAAACCTTCGAGAGCCTCCTTGGTTGATAAATCTTGATGAAAAATTGAAATTTAATCTAAACAAAATTAAGTAAAATTTAATCGTAAATGGAAGGTTTATAACGGAACCCTCTGCAAAGTGAAGTCCAGAGCTGTAGTCTACCTTACGATTAAACCTCCCCATAATCCGTCGCTGAGGATAACATCACATTAGATTAATAGTTTTTTACAATAATCATATAGATCATATTATAAAAAAACAAAAAGTCATTTTCAAATAATGGAAAGTGTTATGATTAATGTGAACAGAATTTTTATCTTCGTTTTTTTAAAACCACGATAGCTATTTGTATATTTTATCTTTAATAATGCAGAAATAATAAAAATACTGTTATAGCTATTGGAACATTAGCAGAATGTAAGACATGTAGATCAAAGAATATTTAATCATCATTAATATTTCTGGTACGATTTTAAATACGTTATCTTATAATTAATTGTGCAAAATACGAGTGGAAAGTTGCTTTTCTTTAATACATTGGGTGTTATGAGGATCAGCGGTGTGCGGCACTGTAAATCAGATAGGTATATTTGAATAATTAATAGAAAATAATAGAAAGATATTGTGAATACCATTGCTACTATATACTAATAATTAAATCTAAATTTTTAATTTTTAAATCCTAGAATTTTGAGAATTAAAAATTTTGGAATTGTGAAATTTTAGAATATTGCAAAGATCAATTCCTGTTTTCAGGAAGAGGACAGTCTTCATTTTTTAAGGGCTCAGGCCTACCCTGGCCCCTACCTAGTTACACTAATGATAAATAGAAAGCTTGATAAATAAATGCCTATTTTCACTACATAAATCAATGTGTTAAATATTTCAATAGTTTCAATTATTTTATTTTAGGTCTTTATAAAGTTTCAGTAGCTGTCCAATG